GACACACACACACACACACACACACACACACACACACACACACACACAGACACACAGAGACACACACAGGCACACAGGCACACAGGTACCCAGACCCACAGACGCGCAGACTCGCAGACGCACAGACGAACAAATGCACAGACGAACAGACGCACAGACGAACAAATGCACAGACGAACAGACGCACAGACGCACAGACGCACACACCCACCCACCCACACACACACACACACACACACACACCCACCCACCCACCCACGCACGCACGCACGCACGCACGCACGCACAGACAGAGACACACAGAGACACAGAGAGACACACAGAGACACACAGAGGCACACACACACACACAGACACACACACACACACACACGCACGCACGCACGCACGCACGCACGCACGCACGCACGCACGCACGCACGCACGCACGCACGCACGCACGCACGCACGCACGCACGCACGCACGCACGCACGCACGCACGCACGCACGCACGCACGCACGCACGCACGCACAGAGGAGAGACACAGACACAGAGACACAGACAGACAGACAGAGACACAGACAGACAGAGAGACAGAGAGACAGAGAGACAGAGAGACAGAGAGACAGAGAAACAGAGAGACAGAGAGACAGAGAGACAGAGAGACGGAGAGACAGAGAGACAGAGAGACAGAGAGACCGAGAGACAGAGACAAAGAGACACAGAGACACAGAGACACAGAGACACAGAGACACAGAGACACAGAGACACAGCGACACAGAGACACAGAGACACAGAGACACAGAGACACAAAGACACAGAGACACCGAGACACAGAGACACAGAGACACAGAGACACAGAGACACAGAGACTCAGAGACACAGAGACACAGAGACACAGAGACACAGAGACACAGAGACACAGAGACACAGAGACACAGAGAGACAGAGACACAGACAGAGACACAGACAGAGACACAGACACAGACAGAGACAGAGACAGAGACAGACAGACTCACGCACCCACGCACCCACGCCCGCATGCCCACGCTCCCACGCACCCACCCACCCACCCACCTAGACAGCCAGCCACCCACGCACGTGCGCACGCACGTGCGCGCGTATGCACGGACGCATTCATGCACGCGCACGCTCCATACGCACCTCACACACATCCTCACACACACACACAAACCCATGTAATTACGCACACGCACTTGCTGACCACGAAAAAGGCTAGTTGGACATGCAGGCCCAAGTACATGACTAGGCATTCTCAAGCCTTCGATAGCCCTCCAAGTGTTTTGTTCGGAGGCGCGCCCCGTGTCGGCAGATGGGCTGGGACCACAGCGCCATTCCATCGCTGGCTCACGAAGCCCCGACCTCCGTCCAGGCCCAAACCGAGCTTGACCAGACATGACCAGACACGCCATGAAGGACTATTCCCAGTGTCAGCTTCTCAAACCACCGAAACCTACTCTGTGCGTTTCTGTGTTTTCGCAGTCTGGCACTTAGGTCAGGCAGAATGTGTTTGCAATTGCCTGCTGCGCGCAGGTGCCCGAAACAGTTCCCGATTGGGTGCTGTTGTCGAGGCAAGCCTTTTGTCTTCATCAAGTCCCTGCTCTGGCCGAGTATGATGCCTTGAAGTTGCGTTCGGAAGGGGCGGGTCTAAAATAGCACTTGGGCAAGAGGTGCTTTTTGGGTTGCCGCGACGTTCCGGAACAGGGGGGACACCAGTGTGGACTATTTCTCGGTCGGTTTCTCAGGCACAAGATTCACACCAATGCCATGCTTTGAGCCAGTTTAACTTGCTTTTTCCTTTGGGAGAGGCAGTTTTGAGCACAAGTTGCCGCAACCCACGTTGAGTCATTGAGCGAATAAATAGTTCGCCCTTCGAACTTTGCAGGAGAATCATTGGGAGTCGAAATTCTATGTTGAACACCTTGACTCTCATACCTGTCCCTGTGCAGGAAGATCCGGGACTCAAGTTGCGCTCGCCGCAGGCGCGGTCCTCGACTCTGCATACTGCGCCTGTCGGAGGGGGTTTTAGGGTTTGCTTGCAAGATCCTTGTATCGTCAAGTTTTCCATGGGTTTCGACATGTGGTCTGTCTCACGCATGCTGCATTACAGGGGGTATGGAACCCAAGGTTCCCCAAATACCCCACTACTCCCCAAGTAGGAGCCCAAACCCTAAACCCGGTTTAGGGTTTAGGGTTCAGGGTTTAGTTCGCGCCGGAGCTGGACGAACGAAGATGATGCCATCATCGAACCTACTTCTGCCCCAGGTCCACTGATTCTTTGCGCCTCGCATGTTCCGGTTTCCGAATACCGGTTTAGAGCTGTGACTTAAAAGCTTCCTTAAGGTTCCGATAACTTCAGCATGTCAATCTTGGTGCGTTTCCTCCATGTCGTACGGTGGCTTGTAACTTGTATGCGTTGCATCTTTGCCCATGACTGGTTTCTTCCAGCAGGGGCGGTTGTCATGCAGTTCTAATTCTGGGTATGATGTGTGATGATGTGTGTGAAATGTCCTGCAGGTAGACATTCGCACTGCAATGCCTTCCATGTCACCGCGCGTGGATACAGGCCGCATGGAGCTACTGTGGACAGGTACCCGAAGAGCCCGATAACCCTCTTTTAAGGAATCTGAGATCCCGGTAAAATCAGGTTAAGGTCTATTCCTTGTTTAAGGAGTATTGGGCTTCGGCTTCTAGGGTATCCAGAGGTAGGGTGCGTGCAAAGCTCGTAAACGTGAAAGCCCTGCGACTGGCCACTAGTCCAATTCCAGCTTGGTTGAGACCCGTTCTGCATCCCGAGCCTGAAATCCTCATCCATCTCTCTCGGTCCCAGTCGACATGGTACAGAACTGAATCGAATCCAGGACAATCGCCCCAGAGGCCCACAGCGCAGTAAGACTGCGGCGCAACTGCTGCAGTTTTTGGAAAAAATAGGAGTACCCTTTTCGGGGCTTTCTTTAAAGGGATTGTATAGTATTTTTGGGGTATATAAGGGGTACCCCTATTTTCAAAGATCTCCTCCAACCGCAGTGAGCCACTCGCTCAGTGTTGTAGAAAGCTCCTCCAAACCACCGTGAGGCCAGGTGCCGGCCGTTTAGGGTTTGGGGTTTGGGGTTTAGGGTTTAGGGTTTAGGGTTTAGGGTTTAGGGTCTAGGGTTTAGGGTTTAGGGTTTAGGGTTTGGGGTTTGGGGTTTAGGGTTTAGGGTTTAGGGCAGAGGCGTTTTTCGTAGACTCGACGGGTTCGTGCAATCGGCGTGGCTTTCGCTTATCTATCTGGAGAACTCCTGCCCCATCACACCCAGACCACCTCGACCCCGAGAAACTCCAGAAATCCCTAAACCCTAAACCCCAAACCCTAAACCCTAAACCCCAAACCCCAAACCCTAAACCCTAAACCCTAAACCCCTAACCCCCAAAACCCTCCTCAGATCGCCTCATGAGCGCTCCGATGATGAAGGTGGGTTTGGGGCGCGGGGCTTCGGATCTCGCACGTTTATTGAACGGAGTTTCAAGTTGAGCACTGAGGGTTTCGGGTTTAGGGCTTAAAGGGTTTAGGGCTCAGGGTTGGTTGAGGTTTCATCACACGCTGGCTTTGAACGTTTCGGTTTGGCCCACGGCCAGTTTGGACCGTTCTTGTTCTTGGTGGGATTCACGTCGTTCACCGTTTGGATTTGATGACCCAGCTTATTTTACAACTTACAGCAGACTAAAGAACTTACAAACCATGCGTGGCAGTAGTAGAACAGTCAAAGAATGATGGCTTCCGTCAAGAGCCTTTACGCCTTCAAAATGAAATTCCCAGATATCATATGATACTGGTATCATGTAGGATGCTTAGAGAACCTCAGGAATCCCGCCCAACATCTCTGCCTCGAATATTTTTTGGTGTGGTCACCCCAAGGAAGTTCGAAGAACCCCAGAGTGAATTATTTTGAAAAAAAAGCTACAAAGTATCTCTGACACGCAGACTTCCGCAAAGACCCATCACCAGATGAACACTTACGGTTGGAGCATGTGAAGACGCAGAACATGTGTAGCTGTAGCCTATCAGGCCGACCGACGTCGGTCGATGCTAGTTGTAGTCGTCGGCCCTGAGTCCTCGTTTGCAGAGGCTTGCCACATGCATTGCTCAGCCCGCAACTGTTGCCCTACTTGTGCCACAAATAGGCGCTCCCTCTCTGCAAGGACGAAAAACTAGGTAGGCCCTTGGGATATTTTCTATTTCCCTTATTGGGTGTAAGAGGAATATTTAGGAATATCTTTCAGAGGGGTTTAAGGGCCATCCTTGTTTCTATTTCTTTTATTGGGTGTAAGAGGATCATATCCCTAAACCCTAAACCCTAAATCCTAAACCCTAAACCCTAAACCCTTTTCAGAGGGGTTTAAGGGCCATCCTAGAAAAGCCAGAACAGATATTCGCCCCCAGGGACGCAAAGAGGTCGCGAGGAGGGAGTCACATGGGGGGAGCTTCACCGTGCCGGGTGGTGGCTTTGCTGCTTTAGGGTTTAGGGTTTAGGGTTTAGGGTTTAGGGTTGAGGGACTTTTGGAAGAAGTCCAGTTGAGGCGTCGGGCGTTTGGATTTGATGCTTGCTGGCTGTAGTGCAAAGTCTACAACACACATCTGTCATCTGGCCTTGGAGATGTTGGGCTGTCAGTCTGAAGTGTCTCAAAGATGAGGCGCACGTGTGCAGATATGTAAAGTCCCCTGCTGCGCCATAAATCATGAATGCATAGCAGTGCAGTTCACCCAGATTTTTAATGAGGTAGTCAATGTGAGGTAATATGATTCGGAGGCCTCAAATCGAAAGAGAGAGACAGCATTCAGCTGTGACGCAGGCACGCAATGTCAACTTACATAATGTACAGCTCGCACACCTTCCAACTGAGGGGGGGCGACGGCCTCCAGTCAGGCAATGATCAGCACCAGCCAGGGCCGCTCGGGCCACGAAATGCCTGCTGCTTTTCCACGAAGGAAGTGTGTGTGTGTGTGTGTGTGTGTGTGTGTGTGTGTGTGTGTGTGGGCGCGCGCGCGCGCGCGCGTGTGTGTGTGTGTGTGTGCGTGTGTGCGTGTGTGGGAAGATCTTGCGGGCTTAAGGCTGAAAGATGTACCTCGTCTGCAGGGACGACTGTGCTTGCGTTCATCTCCCCATTTCGTGGCAATCATCATCCACACCATCATTCCCATCGTCTCGGCAAGAACGGGAGTCGAAACCTTGAGTGGGCTTAGGCACGGGTGGCAGTGACTCCAGCTCATTGGCGAGCACCTGGGCCACTTGGATGTTTTGAAATGCACGTATGGCGGGTTCAGGTCAAAGGAACCGAGGAGTCGGGGGTTCCGAATCCTTTTTTTTCGGAATTTAATTGAACGCAAAGCCCACCATTCTTTACTGCACCGAGTCCGTTTCTGCCCTTCGCAATAAAGTACATGCCCAGAGCAGTGCGCCGCAGGCTGTTCGCGAACACGGGCGCATGATCCCCTGAAATTATCCCTAAACCCTAAACCCTAAATCCTAAACCCTAAACCCTAAGCCCTAAACCCAACACCGCCTGTAGGTCCTTGAGACCTTGAAGAAGTCTTTGCTCCAAGAGGCGGTCGCGAACCCGAAAGGTTCCATGCCGCACGGCCAGCACCTCTTCCCCTGTAAAGTCAGAATCGAATCGGGTTTTAGGGTTTAGGGTTTAGGGTTTATAGGGTTTAGGGTTTAGGGTTTAGGGTTTAGGGTTTAGGGTCCCAGCTCCTGGTTCAAAAAGGGTTTAGGGTTAAGGGTTCAGGGTTTATGTCAGGGATATATGTTATCGAGGTGGGCGAAGTCTCTTGAAAGAAAGCTTATGTCAGAATATCATCACGTATGAATGTACGAATATACTAGTAGAATCGTATCGTCGCCATCGTAGTTTGCATATATATATATATACATGTACTGTATATATGTATATGTACATGTATACTAACATCATAAACCCTAAACCCTAAACCCTAAACCCCAGACCCTAAGAAGGCTCGTCGGACTTTTTGTGAGTCCGACCCGGGCTTGGCCTGTCGTATCATGGGGCTATATGGGACTGTACCCAAAGAGCCCAATACCCCTCAATTAAGGGTTTAGGGTTTGGAGTTTAGGGTTTGGGGGTTTAGGGTAAGGTATACCTGGTTGTAAAAGGGTAAGGAATATTCTTTAAATCATATTGAGGATCCCTTTATAATTTAAGGTATACTCCTCAATTAAGGGGTATTGGGCTCTCTGGGTACCTTGGAACCCTAAGGTTGTATGTACCCTTGCTGTTTGCGGACACTGTGTCAAGATCCTCTGAGGGAGAAGGGCCATCTTAGGAGTGTGTTAAAGGCTTTAGGGTCTAGGGTTTAGGGGTTAGGGGTTCAGGGTTTAGGGTTTAGGGTTTAGGGGTTCAGGGTTTAGGGTAGCGAAGCTCTTAGGGGATACATAGGGTCCGGGCCTGAACCGAGTCTGACTGCCTCGGCCGTAGCCGTCGAAGTTCCCCCAGACTACATGAATGTACGGCTGTTTAGCAGGATGATGTTACAATACAATGCATAGTAGAACTCTGTAAAGATAAAACGATAGAACCAGTAGAAGAATGTAAGACTAAGTCAGAGAAGTCTTGCCTATCAGAGAAATGTTGCCGAAGAGAGCTGGGGTGTGGCGTGATATCGTGGAAAGAGATCGGTTTAGGGTTTAGGGTTTAGGGTTTAGGTTTGTGTTGCCAAAGAAGCCTAGGACCGGCCCCTGTTTGCCAGCGGGGGTGCCGGATATGGTTCAGGACTGCGGGGGGGTTTTTGGGGTCTAGCATCACCCCTAAACCCCTAAGTCCCTAAACAGCTAAGTCCCTAAACCCCTGAACACCCCTAAACCCCCCAAAACCCCCTAAACCCCTAAACCCCCTAAACCCCCTAAACCCCTCAACCCCCTAAACCCCCTAAACCCCCTAAACCCCCTCAACCCCCTAAAACTTTAAGACCCCAAAACCCTCAACCTTAAACTCAGGGCCTAGGCCGCCCCCCTACGTTGGGGCCGGCGCTTAAGCCCTTCGACCTCCATGGCGCAAGCCGACCCAGATCGCTTGCCCGCCTCCCACAGCATTGCGGGTCGGTACACGTTCTCCGCCAAACAGTACTGGTCATGACCCTGCGTCGCTGACCATTTCGGGGGGGGGTACCCCCACGGCCCCAGCCCAGAAGACCCGCACCCTTCGCCGCAACGTGTCCAGGGACCAGGGAGCTTCAGAAGGGTGGTCCTGCTCGGCCAAACCCCCCCCTGGCCCCTGGCCCCCTGGCCTGGCCATGCTTCAAACCCTCTGAAACCTTTCCTTTTCGATGCAGCTGAAACCCGTGCTACAAACGAGCATGGACCTGGCCTCAAACCCTTTCTTTCGGCTGAAAGTGGCTGGTGACGGAAAGGTTTCTTTGAAAGAAAGCGATTGTCATGAGTTTAGGCCGAAACCCGAAAAGGAATAGGTTTGGGTGGTTTTGCCGCCTCGGACGGCGTGGGGTGGGACAAAAAGTATCAGACGGCCCTCCACAATCGGGCCAGAGCTGCTCTTTGCACCTGACGAGGCATTCGAGCCTCTGCTGCATCCTAACCTTCACGGCATCTATGCCCTATTACAGCAAACCCTAAACCCTAAACCCCCAAACCCCAACCCTGGATCTCGTTGAACAAGGGCAAGAGTTGCCATCTCTCGGAGCTGCTCTGGCCAACTAACCCGCCTCTTCAGGTTTAGGGCTAGGGTTGAGGGTTTAGGGTTTAGGGTTTAGGCATCATGCATCAAACGTGCTCACCCTACACCCTGCGCCCCTCACAGTGCCCCAGCAGTAGAGCCCTGCACTCTTGCAGGAGTTGCGCCAGATCCGACAGGAAATGAGGACGAAGCCCACAACCATTCCGGTTGGACATGGGAGTTGATGTAAATTTCAGCCAATGCGCCCGAAGCTACATGGAATATGCCACAGCAGAAGCCCCAAAACGATCACAATTTATGTCAAATCGCACATACACGTGCACAGATTCGTGCGGGGCGTTGCGAAGCCGGGATCCTGCATTGGAGTGCTGCAGCCCTGCCGCAAGTCATATCGATACATAAATGAAGGGATATTGAAATGAACTGAAACGAAATGAAAGGACAAAAAATGAAAGAACAAGACATGAATGAAATGAAATGAATGATCGAATGAAATCAATGAATGCATGAATGAATGAAGGACATGAATGAAATGAATGAACGAATGAATGATGGAAAGGAACGAAATGATATGAAATCAAATGAAGGGCATGAATGAATGAATGAGTGAGTGAAACAAGGTATAGACGCAACCCCCCCCCCCCCACTTTCATGACCCTAAACCCCAAACCCCAAACCCCAAACCCCAAACCCCAAACCCCAAACCCTAAACCCTAAACCCTAAACCCTATGAGCTTAATGAACCTACCGTTTGTGTGGGTTTCCTGGCTTCTTACTATTAAACATTGATCCGTGCGCGCTTGATTCGGCGAGAAACCAGCTGATTCCCAGCCGAATCTGGGACGCACTGTGTTTATGCGACCTAAGAATGAACAGATTGGCGCCCTATCTCTCATATCTATCAAGTCTCGTTTGTTCTTTGGAGTTGGCTTGAATATTCATTGCCTGCCACGCACCAATTTTGATTGGACTCAAAAATCATAGCTTTGCTAGAACAAGTCAGGCAGAACTTGACCTCAAGATCTCAAGCAAGTACTAAAAACACAAGAGTGCTGGATGGTTTTCATAAGTGCATCAAGGCACTTACAAGTAATAGAAACCATGAAAATAACAAGAATTTATATGTATACTTATATACTATATACATTAATACTATATATCTATATACATATAACATTAAATAGTAATATTCTATGTATACGTATATACTACTATGTCTATATAATACTATATAGACATATACATACATATATAATGAAATGAACCCAGCAAAACAAGAAATGAGACCGACGCGCAGGTCTGTCCCAGCTGTCCTTCATTGTCTTGCGTTCGGCCTGAGAAATACGTAAGCTAGGACACCGTACCCTTCGCTTGCAATAATTGCTTTGGCTTTGTAGGTTCTTGGTATAAAGCCTCTTATAGGATTCTTAGGTAACCTACAAGAAAGTAGGCTCTGGGTTTTGTGAAACACTACACTGCGCTCTGCGCGCGTCTAGCGGTTTGAGCCATGTGTGTTTCGAGACATACGAGATGTTTTGGAAGAACGTTTACTGAGGCATTGAACCAATTAGACTTTACACGCGCTAATCTTTTCCTGAGAGTCTTCAATTGAATCCCATTGATCATTTGCTCAAGTTTGTTGTAAAATTCAGGTGCTACAGAATGGATTGAAGATGTGGTCTTGCAATAGCATGACATATTTTGTTATCAGACGTTAGCTACCCGAAGAGCCCAATGCTATTTTTTATGGGGGTCCTTCACATGATTTAAGGTAACTTCCTGAATAAAGTGGTATCGGGCTCTTTGGGAAAATGTATATATATATATATCCAAGTACAAGATATATATATATATATGTGTGTGTAAATATAAACATAAATATAAATGTAAATATAAATATAAATGTAAATATAAGTATAAATATAAATATAAACATAAACACAAACATAAACATAAATATAAACATATGTATATATATATATATGTGTATCTACACAAATACAAACATGTTTATATGTATACATTGTGACATAGGTGTATAGTACTCCCACCCTGACCTGCCAAAGGAGGGAATCCGAGGCGCGGAAGCAGCTGGGAACCAACCTGGACTCCCTGCTCCAGGCATCACGTAAAGCTTAGTAGGGTTTAGGGTTTAGGGTTTAGGGTTTAGGGCAGCTTCCTCAGTCCGTGCTCAAAAAAGGGTTTAGGGTGCATTCTGAAGAGTGCACATGTCATTCTTGTTATTATTGCTGCTATTGCTGTTGTTGTTATTGTTGTTCTTACTGGTATTACTGCCATTATTGTGTTTATGTTTGCTATCATTGCCTTAATGAGTTGGCTCATTTTCCCAGCAGCCTTGGAGGAAGAAAGGAAAAGACGAGATGAGGCCGGCGGCCAGCAGGTTTCAAAGGCGAACTTCAGGTGGAGTTAGCAGAGGGGCCACGAGGGCCTAAACCCTAAACCCTAAACCCTTTTGACGTCTTTTTGTTCAGGGCTTGGAGTCAGCTGGATTTCGCCTACTCGTCGTGGAAGGCGACGCGATGTGCGTGAACCAGGCGAAATCCCCAAAAAGCAACAAGGAACAGTCGGCGAACAAAAAGGCAGTTACCTTGAGCGTGCGCGTGTTTAGCAGGTTTGCTTTGAATTGTTCTGGTTCGTTTCTTTTCAAGACTCGGCCCAACCTGTCTCCACCACTGGCTGGCAAAGCGTTGCCGTGCTCACGAGTCCTCTCAACCGATGCTGTATGGCAGCCATCCTGGATCCTCGCTGGAAACAACTTGGCCTGGGCCTAAAGGGTGCTGGACTGCAAGCAGGATTGGTGGGGCTGCACTACAGGGGACCCATTGCGGTCTGGCCTGTGCACTTCGGCGCCTGTTGTGGGCCTTGGTGAGTTCACAGCTGCTTGCACGAAGTTGCCAAAATCAGGGATGTCGAGCTGTTGAGTGAGGCTGGCCGATGACGTTTACAGAGGCTCCTGGACAGCGGCAGAAGGCACCCTTAATTAGGCCGCAACGCCCAGCAGGCCGACCCATCTATCCACCCACCCCGCTGACACAACCGCTTGCCACAGGCCCATGACAGGTTTTATGCCTTGCGGCAGTGTTGCCTTCAGTTACAGCCCCACTTACATACACACACATATATGTATATATAATCAAATAATAATGCAATATAACAAATGTACACATGTACGTGTATGACCATTCATATGTGTACATAATACATACCCTAAACCCTAAACCCTACACCCTAAACCCTAAAAACCCTAAACCCTAAACCCTAAACCCTAAAAACCCTAAACCCTAAACCACTTATGTATACGTCATACAGGCCATCCGCACATCGCAGAGCCTACGCGAGCAGTGCGAGAGCCGAGCCTTGGGGAAGATTTGGCTGAGGATGTTGGGCAGTAGCGGTAGGGTTTAGGGTTTAGGGTTTAGGGCGTGCCAAACGGGAGCGCGCTTTGGGAGCGCGCGGTAGTCTGCAGACCTACCCACCCCAAGACCGCCCACTTTCAACTCTCAAGGAGTTAAGACCTTTCATTTTTTTACAAAGCATCACATGAGTCAGCACTCACGCCCTTTTTGGGGATTTCCAAAAGGTGCGTGGACCAGGCGCAAAGCTGCAGCAGACGGAAACGAGGCAGGGTACGTGAAGACAGCTTGGGTTGGGGCGAAGGGGCTATGAAGGGATGGGCCAGGAACAGACAAAGGCAGCGAGGCTTGGTTGGCGCGAAGGGGCTCCAGCCAGGAAGAACACACAGTGAACAGCTTGGGTTGGGCAGAGCGCCACGGAAACAGGGCTGGTGTGGCGGATAGCTTGGCTTGGCGCGAAGGGGGTAAGGTGGGGTGCCGAACCAGGGTCTGGACCAGGCAGCAAACGGAAGCGAGGCAGGACAAACTGGTGCGCGGACAGCTTGGCTTGGCGCCAGGGGGTAAGATGACTCGGCCAGAGGCCAGGGCCAGGGCCAGAGCCAGGGCGCAAAAGTAGTCAGGCACAGAAACAGGGCTGGTGTGGACCAGGCACAAACTGGTGCGCGGACAGCTTGGCTTGGCGCGAAGGGGGTAAGTGGTCAGGTCAGGTTGGGGACCTTTACAAGCTGTGTGGACCAGGCACAAACGGTGTGCGAGGACAGGTTTGGGTTGGTGCGAAGGGGCTATGGGCCAGCAAAGGCAACCAGGCTTGGTTGGCGCGAAGCGGCCAGTCAGGGCCAGGGCCAGGGCCAGGGAGCCAGGGCAGGAAGGCAGGGTCAGGGCCAGGGTCAGGGTTAGGGCCAGGGCCAGGGCCACGGCCAGGGCCAGAACCAGCCCCAGGACCAGGGCCAGGGCTAGGGCCAGGGCCAGGGCCAGGGCCAGGGCCGGCAGCGCCAGGGCCAGGGCCAGGGCCAGGGCAGGGCCAGCACCAGCACCAGGGCCAGGGCCAGGGCCAGGGCCAGGGCCAGGGCCTGGCGCTAAAATGGGGTCAGGCCGAACTGCCTGCCCCAACAAAACCGCCCCTGGTCCCCTCAGCCCAGCGGACGGGGGTGAGGGACCAGGGGTCTCAAGGGGCCGTCCCCAGGGGGCCTCCAATGCAGGACCAAACCATGTGCGCTGGCAGCTTGAATTTTAGGGTAATATAATATAATACAGCCAGCCTGGAGGCCAGCTCGGTCGCCCGCCTGGGGCTCCCTCGCAGGGTCTCACTGAGCGCTCGACCAGCGCCCACCTACCCCAAAAGACAAGAGAGTGGGGTGGCGGGCGGGTTTAGGGTTTAGGGTTTAGGGTTTAGGGTTTAGGGTTTAGGGTTTAGGGTTTAGGGTTTAGGGTTTAGGGTTTAGGGTTTAGGGTTTAGGGTTTAGGGTTTAGGGTTTAGGGTTTAGGGTTTAGGGTTTAGGGTTTAGCGGTCATGCACCTGCGAAATTCATACGGGTCCTTTTCTTTTAAACTCGAGTTGTCTTGCTGCTATTTGCACTGGCACTAGTTATTGCTTCTTCTTGGTGATGATTGGCTATTGTTATCATTTGTCATCATTGGCGATCAAGGGTGATTATGGGCTTTTGTTACTCTTGCCTTTGGTGTTATTATTGCAAATTTTGTTGCTATTGGTACCATATTTGTTTTTATTCTTACCATGGTCATTAACTGTTAGTACTACTTGTCGATGTTTTAATCAGAAAACTGTTCCTCCGACCCGGGGCTCATCGATCAGACATGTCATGGCACTTGCGCTGGCAGCCCGGAGTGCGCTGCTCTATAGCCGGCGCAGCACGTTCGGTCTTAGGGTTTAGGGTTTAGGGTTTAGGGTTTAGGGTTTAGGGTTTTGCAGTCTGTCTACGGTCAAATCAGCGAACTCGTCGACCGACTCCGTCCATGCCGAGGACTGGAGCAAAGATGGCATACCACTGTCAAGGAGGAATCTGCCTCGTGGTTTGCAAGGGAGCGCTGCTTGCACTAGCGTATTTACTGCGGCCTTCACGGATTTGCCCCTACTGTATAAAACAAACGATCCTCGAATGCAATCGGGGCTGCAATCTTCTCTTGATCTTGATACATGCGGCCATGCATTAGGTAGATGCATGAGATAGAGTCAGAGATTGTTTTGATGATCTGACAGCAAATCTCGTTTTGATTTATGTTGCCACTTCAAGTTACTATTTAGTTCCCAATAGCATGTCTACTTCTAAGAATATAACCTGGTCAACAGCACTCATACAAGTGAAATCATGAAACTGTTGTTTCCGGTGCAAGAACAGGATGTAGACGTAGATGCAAACCCGCACTTGGCCTCTCAAGCGAAGCTGGCATGAACCTACGGTCCTTCTTTAAAAGTTTAGATGCGCACCGAATCGAGGCTTTGCGTCGTGCTGTGGAGAGCCATCTCGAGGCTATCTCCTAAGCTATTTCATGGCAGTAGCTGCGTTGAGGCAACGTGCAGACACAGACACCCTTCCCGGCGCAGGAAACATAAATAAAGAAAGAAACAGAGAGGATTACTGTAAAAGCGGCTTATGCACTGTTTGTTGTCTCATGAAGGCAAGGAAGAGAGAAGAAGAAGAAGAAGAAGAAGAAGAAGAAGAAGAAGAAGAAGAAGAAGAAGAAGAAGAAGAAGAAGAAGAAGAAGAAGAAGAAGAAGAAGAAGAAGAAGAAGAAGAAGAAGAAGAAGAAGAAGAAGAAGAAGAAGAAGAAGAAGAAGAAGAAGAAGAAGAAGAATAATAAGACGAAGAGGAAGAGGAATAGGAAGAGGAAGAGGAAGAGGAAGAAGAATAAGAAGAAGGACACGAAGAATCATCATAGTAAGAAGGAGAGAGAGAGCAGAGAGAGAGAGAGAGAGAGACGGGGAGGACTCTCACACCGACAAACCTTGGACGTGCGCGCCCCTGGGGGCAGCCTCCCTTCGGGAGGGTTATGCGTGTGGGAGAGAGAGAGAGAGAGAGAGAGAGAGGAGAGAGAGCGAGAGAGCGGAGAAAGAGAGCGAGAGAGAGAGAGAGAGGAAGAGAGAGAATTTGTGTTTTGCTCAATGGCTCGATATGCACCCAGAATCCTTCATCATCCGGCAGTCTTTCAATCTCCTGAACGGGATCATGGAGTCGCAAATCGAATCTTGAAACCTGCCAAGCCTCTCTGACCCTCAACTCTGCCAAGGCCGTTCTAAGAGATTCTAGGGCTTTTGACCCTGACCCTTTTAGAGTCATTTAGAGTCCAGGGCCTTGGGCCCTCAACCCTACATGAGGATACATACAAGGGCCTTTTAAAGGATTGTAGAGGGTGGATGTTTCCTTGCAGGCGCGCCTGGGAGCTATGCAGCGGGAAGTGCGGCTCGAAGTAGGCCCGCACCGGTATGGCGATGAGCAGACGGGTGCAGTGAAGTCGGTGAGATTTGGGAGTGTGTGCTCGGCGTACTAAACCCGAAACCACAAGCCCCTAAACCCTAAACCGCGTGGAGGCAAGGGGCCAAGGAGCGCGGGGGCAGTCGGGAGGGCGGGAGGGCTCGGGCATGCACTTGAGCCCTTAAGCGGGAGGGGGGGGGAGGGGGTTGGGCACTAACAGCAAGGCAGCGAGGGGGGCAGGAAGGGTGGGGGGGGGGGGGAAGGCAGCAAGGGCAGCGAGGCACTGGGCGAGGAAGCAGACAGCAAGGGCAGCGAGGCACTGGGCGAGGAAGCAGACAACGATGGGTCTTCACCGACGCCGCCCCCGCGCTGGTTGGGGTCGGCGGATAAACCCTATAAAGGCTGCTTGAAACCCGTGGCACAGCCCACGTAAATGTCGCGCTCATCCTTCTTTGCTTCTGACCTGGGCCTCCCGGCTTCCTTTTTTTCTCCAGCTTGCCGCAAGCTGCTTTACTGCACCCTAAACCCTAAACCCTAAACCCTAAACCCAGGCGCCGCCGCAACCCAGACGCAGCAAGTCCTGAGTGAGTTCGGCCATTTTCGACCCTTGCCTTTACCAACTTCACTCTCGCAAGGTCCACACGCACTTTCGGTCTTGCAACGATGTAGGATTGAAGCGCAAGTCTGTTGGTAGGTTCCAGGATTGAAATGCATTCCCATCGGCTGTCCTGAGCGGATTGAGCGCCAGATCTGTTCAGCTGTGTATGCCTGAATCTGCTAGAAGTTAAGGCATCGTAAGCAAGGCGCGTGACCGCTTCTACAATGCTTCATGTCGATGGGAGCTTGTGGGTCAGCAAGTCCATTCTTGGATTCCTTCGATTCATCTGAGGTAGTACCCTAGGACCCGCCTTTTTCTTATTCCATGTGCAAGGAGACAACATCCGGCAGGAGCTGGACCTGCAAAAGCTGGAAATCAGCAACGCCACCGCGGATCTTTCCAGGCGCGGTCTCGCGGTTTGCAGATGCACCAAGCCACCAGAAGGCCAAGCCGAGAATCAACGACAGCTGGTGCGTAGTTACTGTTCATATACGCCTTTGTCTTATCAACAGTATAAATTAGGCTGTTTATGATCTTCTCATGACGACTCCTGTAAGAGAAGCTGCCCACTTAACAACCTCATCAGTCCTGGCAACAAGGAAGTCTCGAGCAGCCCTGAGCCTCCGAAAGCCGAGGCTGGTCGACCAACTCCGGACCCAAGCAAGGGGCGAGGCCGATTTTTAGGGTTTGGGGCACCGCTGAGCGTAGGATTCCCTTACAAGAAGGACTCCAATAAGGCACCCCGAATTTCCGAGCGAATGGCAGCATAAGGTGCATAAGGTGAAGATGGCAGGCCTTGCCATGTCGGGGTTGCCCACCCCCTTCCCCCCCCCCCCCCCCCCCGCAGCACCTCCAAAGAACCAGCCACCTGACGCACAACAGACAACAGTGCACATACCAGTGCAGCACCAAGGTGACCTCCCCGACAGCATCATCGTCCATCACCGAGGGCCTTGTGCGCGCAGAGGCATCGCCTTCTTCTGAGAACTTGCAGGGCACTTGCTGTGATGTTGAGGCGTACACGCGCCCGGATTCGCATGTGGCGCGTTTCTTTGTCTTCGTGGCAGTTGACAGGTTGCATCATGCTTCGTCTGCCCATTGTCAGGTCCGTCGCCAGCTGAATGAAAGGCCTGGTCTGACAGTTGACTGACTCAGAACTGCTCAGAGCAAATCAGAAGACTGTCTACAGACAAGGCATCGAGACAAGCAGTTTGTGAGTCCGCAAGCTTCCAGAATATGCTCGCCCTCGTACGTGAGGTCATCTGAAGCTGTTCCGGGAGTGACGTCTGTGCCTCCTGGGGAGTTGCACCTTGATATCAAGCAGCGTTTTAGAGTTTCTGCGGTGCAGAGGAGATCTGTTTTCACAGCCAGCTGCGGGCTCCTAGGCAAGCACTGGCCAGCAGGGTCGAGCATCTCGAGAAGGCCGACGACGATGCGCTTGCACCTGTAAGCAGTAAGCTTCAGCACGTGCTTCTCCAGCAGAACCACATCGTGGTTCGCACAAGTAGGCATGAAGGAAGGACGACAAAACGCTTTTAAAACCTGGGGACACTGGCAACATTTACGAGTTTTCAACCGCTGATGCCGCCTCAACTCACTGGCCTGGCCAAAGCTCGGGCAGAGGGCCGCCATGCCAATGTCAACCGAGAATGCACGCGTCGCAGAAGCCAAGCCGTGCTGTCGTGGCGGGAGGGGGGGGGGTCGGGGTTAGGGGGGGCCCTGCCCGCTAACAACGAGGTGGGGATTCGAAGCGGACTTTTGCGTGCCTATCTCCGTTTTTCATTCAAAAACAACTTAGCAAAGGCGGGGCGCGCGGTGACTGCGGAGGGGATATAGCGGAGGGGATCTTGAGTTTGCAAGGTCGCACCCATGCTGATAGAAGTAGCAACACCACGAGTAGCCCCACCAGGGCAGCCATAGTGGTAGCAGGACAAGAGGCCACCACAAGAACAGCTTTCTTTGTGCTGAGACCGCAGGCTCTGGAGGCGGAGGCCACCAGCCGGCACGAGGAGCACAGTGGGGCCAGGGTGTTATCCAAGGAGAACTAGGAGGGTTCGCTGCAAGCGCTTTGGCCCTGTTTGTAAAGAAGCGAGGTCTGGGCCCTTCAATGCACATCAGTAGTTTCAGCTGAAAACGTACTTGAGCGGCGCATGCGGCATGTGTAGAATGGCATGTGTATATCCCACAGAGACAGGAACACATGTACAGACAGACTTGTCGATCGACTTTTACATAATCCTCTGGGTATCTGCCCAAAGTGGGCCATATAAGACCCCAAAAGTAGTCGTAGGGACCCCACCAAAGGGGTGTCCCCCATTTTTCGGGAACCGCGCTCCATATTATCCCAGAGGCCTCCAGTCCCAGGCTCCCACACGTGGATCAATGTTGGGGAGAGGTGTCAACTCGGACATCTGCAAAGCGATGGGTTTTTTTAACGTTACATTTAGGGTTTTTTTGACGTTAAAAAGCCCTAAGAGCAGTTCTCTGAGGACTGCGTGTCGGGGTTGTGACGCCGGTAAGTTTGCTTTTGCTTGCATTTGCCGCCCCCCCCCCCCCCTCCGGTCTTATCGCTTTTTGCATTTCCGAACAATATAGACTACTACTGGTACTTAGTTGTGGCATCACAATCAGTTATCTTGAGGAAACGGGATTTTCGCGCCCGGCACACGCTGTGGTTCCCGAATTGGCAGCTGCGCATCCGAACCGCAAGGAAGCGACCAAGCTCTTGTCGACCTTTCACGAGTGCCCTGGAGGGTTTAGGGTTTAAAGTTCAGTGTTCATAGGGGCTTTTGTTACCATGGGTACTTGTTCAAGTTTGGACGCTGCCCTCATCGCGCAGAGTACAGTAACAAACCGTCGACACCTACCTGCCCACCTACTAGAACCATATGGAGGTTGTTCTAGTTGTGCTTCATGTGCTGGGTTTCTGTCATATCTGAGAGCCAACGCCGAGAGGCCTAAGTAGACAGGCAGCCTAGCAAATCGCACCCGATTCGATTCTACCGTATCATTGCCGGAGAATTTCGATGCTGGTCTAAAGCCGGGGAGTCAAGAATCGGCGCATTTTAGTGTATCAAACAATGGCCGAGCCTCGTAGTCTACCTGAGTGGGTGGAACAGCTTGAAAAGACGTTCACGTTCAGTCTACCAGGCTGGTAGCCGGGGGCCGGCAGCGCCATGATGAGGCCTTGCAAGAGGCGCCGTTCATCGAATGTGAGTTTAGGGTTTAGGGTTTAGGGGTTTAGGGGTTTAGGGGTTTAGGGGTTTAGGGGTTTAAGTTTAGGGGTTTAGGGGTTTAGGGGTTTAGGGGTTTAGGGGTTTAGGGGTTTAGGGGTTTAGGGGTTTAGGGGTTTAGGGGTTTAGGGGTTTAGGGGTTTGGGGTTTAGGGTTTCACGAGTCGGGGCGATCGACAATAGTCGTAGCTTCTACGTAGCTTCTGTGGGAGATTGCAGCATGCCCGGGTGCAGGAATCCGACTGGTGGTTCTCACGAATTTTTGAAAGGTGTTGGTATGTACTGTACTGCTTACACAATCTATGGAGCCCTTGTTCTGCAGTTGCGCCTTGCTGTTCACAAGCATTCCCGTTAGCGATGTCCGTTGCCTCCAGCCTCGAGTGTCCTGGCAAAGTACTGGCAAAGTACTGGCAGGTTGAGAAACGACTGCAGGCAAAGCTAGACACAGCGGTCGCCGAGGCAGGGTTCCCTTTGAGGGTTCCCAAGATCCTTTTCCATCCCCATGCGCAGATCTTGCATAGGACAACGTTGCACTGATGTTGCGCGTGTGGCATCAGGTATGTAGGTAAGAATTCGAGTTTGGCTTCAGCCACGGACGCTAGGGCACTTCGACACCCCAAATCTGGTCATCCGGTCGTGTTGAGTCTTTTTGGGCAGCTACGGGGGGGTAACCTTCAACCTTTTGGGGCATATATAATCCTGCCATAGCTGAAAGGTTAACCTTTTCTGGCCCAACTAGGTTATCGAAAGGATGCAGCATAGTCAGCGAGGAAGGCAGAGCTTGACTACCTGGCTCGCCGCAGACCTCTGCCGATTCGTCGCTATTCTGTGAAACGCCCCCCTAGCTTCCTGACCGCTGAGAGGCCAAGGCTGTGCAGGAGGCAGCCGAGACGCACAGCAGGAGCCAAGCGGCTGAGATGCAGGCGCGGGGCCGTTTTCGGATTGGGTTTCGTGTGGGTTTTTCCGGTTTAGGGTATGGGTGTGCACCAGCTATTGGCCGCAGCCCTTGTGTGTAGTTTCCTGTCATTGTAAAGTCGCAGATGGTGGTTCATGTCTCAGAGTCCATGTGAGGCGACACGCGAGAGGGAGGAGACTTACATGCTGCTGCTGACGCTTGTCTTTTTCAAAGCTCAGAATAGACGGACTGCTCACGTTCCCTTACCAATGCAGGGCTCCATCATCTAGCCATCCTTATCGGCACGTCGGATACTACGTTTCTTTTAGGCTCTGGATGGTTCATCGGTACATGCAGTGACCCAATTGTAAGACCGCGGTAGTTTACACGGTCTTTGATTCTACGCCCGACCGCCAGAGTTTGTGTGCTTTGCATACGCTCCCTAAACCCGAAACTCGAAACCCTGAACCCTAAGCGACTCATGACTTGAGGAAGTCGTTTGACGAGAAGATTCCCGAGGCCTCTGCCTGGGTTCTTCGAGACTTGAATAGTAGCCATCGTAGTCATTGAAACAATCGTCATACTAGCAGCACTAGTAATAATGAGACAGAAATACTAGCAATAGCCAGAATCGTGGATGTGTAGGGTTCATTGATGGGGCGTTGGGAGGTGATCTGCGATTGTTCTTGGAGCTTTTCGAATCCGGACTTGCTCGCACTTGAGAGTCTTGCCACGAGACTCGCTCCTGGCACTTCTGCAAACGCCCTCTGACATTCTTGATCAGTGGCTTGCCGCAAGAAAACCAGCACCTGCCTGATAGTCTGAACTACCAGGATGGGCTATTCGGCCTTAAAATCCCCATGATGAACCCTAAAAAAGGGCCTTTTAAGGGATTACAGGGCAGAATAGCTCGTCCTGGTATGAATGCAGCATGCCAGGAGAGACTGAAGGTGCAGGCGCTCTTGGCAGAGCAGCAAGTGCACCTGGAAACCACGACCAAGGACCTGGAACTTTGGCTGCGCTTGCTGGGTACTGGGCCTACTTGAAGGTGCATGGTACTTACTAACTTATAATACCCCTAAAGGGCCTTATAGGGGTTAGCCCAATTATAAGTAGGTTTGTAAGCCCAGTTATAATTGGTTAGTAAGTACCAGGAACCTTCAAGTAGTACTAAAGTACTGAACAAATGTGGCCCATACAGCTGAAATACAATCTTGCCCCTTGAGGGATCTTAAAAGCTCTTCGAACGTTTTTGGGTTGATGACATTGAGAGACTCGAGCTATGTTGACAGCGCATGCATATGGCACAGGTTGCGTTTCGAGTTCGTCTGTTAGTCCCATGCCCCCTTTGTTCATGTTGCGCGATGCCTTGTTAAGTTCATCAACTCAACAATCTTTGACTTCATCACCCTGGCGCCTTCGTTCAACCACCCCCCTGGAGGTCTTGGGGCCTTGACTGGGATCTCATGAATTTCCCAGCCCCCCCCACTCCCAATCGCATATACCCTGCAGTGCACTTTCATGCACTGTCGTGGGTTGTCATGTGGGCATGTACTAGAACACGTTAAGGAGTTTCAACATCTTTGCAACATGTATTTGCAAGGCTGGTACTACAATATCTCCCACAACAAACATTTACCAGTCTTGAATGTATGATCATCTTTTCTGATCTTCACTCCCAAGCCTGTTGAGTTGTGAGATGGGATGGGTGGCGAAGCTGCCGGCATGCAACGACTTTTTCGGGCGTCTCTTTGTATACATGGTCCCCTCATCATGGTCTCTTGCCTTTGTGCGAGGGTTCGGAAGAATGGCCCCTTGGAATCTAGAGGGCACTTTTTCCCCAAGCGTTGATTACAGCTACGTTGAGGACATAACGCAAGCACGGCCCCGACACCGATGACCTTCGCGGTGTTTCCTTACGGGCTCGAACGCTCTTGTCTAGGTGCCGTGTGCATATCCGCTGGTGTTGATTCTCTCCGTGTTTCCGCAATGCCTGCGATGCTCTCAGGGCCCGCAAATGTCAAGAGGTGTCCCACACATCGCAAGTTAGCATGCTCTTACCCCGTGGCGGATGCCACATCACGCGTCCCCTTTTTCCAGTGTGTCTTCCATACTCGCAGTCGTACTCCCTCCTAACTCCCGTGGACTTTGCGCAATCGTTCCGTAAGAAGGGCTCCGAGATTCAAGGCCCTAAACCCTAAACCCTCAACCCACAGAGCTAAGGAGAAGCAGCTTCAAGCGAGCCTGGCACCGTGCTTAGCATGGCTATATTATGAGCCCACGAGCTCATGTCCCGGGTGTTGAGCAGTTTGTGAGCTGGGCTAGGGTTTAGGGTTTAGGGTTTGGGGTTTGGGGTTTAGGGTTTGGGGTTTAGGGTTTAGGGTTTAGGGTTTACTTTTTAGGGTTCTACGGATGTCTACTGTGTTCGTCTGGCTGCGTGTCTTTGGACAACACGGCATTCTGGATCCTGGGGCTCACACTGGATGTTCTAGCGTTGGATCATGGCCTGAGAATTGCGAAGTTTCCCCTTCTCGTTCATGCTCAGTGTACTTGTCAAGGAAGCCAGCGTGGCTTCGTTCGTGGAAAGAAGCTCGAAGGACAGCAAGAACTGCCTGAGGGTTAGATCAGTCGGAATCGTGTAGCGATGGCAGTTCAACACCATGAATTGACCGAGAGCAGACACAGAAGCGGCCACAGCCCTCAAGAATACCCCTGCACCTGCATGAGCCTGCATGTTCCCATACCCTAAGCCCTAAACCCTCAACCCTAAACCCTAAACCCTCAACCCTAAACCCTAAACCCTAAACCCTAAACCCTGTCTGAAGGAGCTCATGACCAACCGCCAAGACCTTCTGGAGTTGCGGGAGGAAGGGTAGGGTCGGAGCTGCTTATGAGACCTTTGCCTCGCAGATTCCCTTAGGGTTTTGGGTTTAGGGTTTAGGGGTTTAGGGGTTTAGGGGTTTAGGGTTTAGGGGTTTAGGGGTTTAGGGTTTAGGGGTTTAGGGGTTTAGCCTTTCAAGGTCTGTTGAGGCGGAATCGAAAGCAGATTCGCCATGCTTCATGTCATCATGAGAAGAAGGGGCCCGTATCAGGGAAGCTCGAACAGAGAAGTCGAGAGACCCAAACCCCGTAGGTTCGCCCAGGAAGCCCCACGCTGCGGCACTGCCTAGCCAGGCGGCCCAAAAAAAAACAATCTTCTGTTGGGACGCTCACTTTGTTTGAGGTCCAGACAGGGCCACCCTACACTTCTAAAAGGGAGTGCTAGAGGAATCTCCTTCGCAATTCCTTCTGAGACCCTAAGCTTTAAACCCTAAACCCTAAACCCTAAACCCTAAACCCTAAACCCTAAACCCTAAACCCTAAACCCTAAACCCTAAACCCTAAACCCTAAACCCTAAACCCTAAACCCTAAACCCTAAACCGGAATCTCCTTCGCAATTCCTTCAAACAGGAGCTCCAGGAGGTGGCGCGCAGCAGCCGCGAGGGCCTGGACAAGGAGGGGCTGTGGGGGGTTCTGGAGGTTTAGGGTTTAGGGTTTAGGGTTAATGCAAAAGGGTAGAGAAAGGGTTCTCGGATTCCCTTGATGCAAAAGGGTTTCGGGTTCGGGGTTCTCGGGTTCAGGATTTCTGGAGGTTCTAGGGGGTGGGCCGAGAACCCTGAAACCGAACAGCTGCAGTTTAAGGGAGTGCAGGCTTTATCAGGCAGTTTCTTCCTGTCACGCAATCGTGCTGAGGCCTGTCGCATAGCGTGAGGGGTCAGGGAACATCTTCCGCTTCTCGTCCCTAAACCCTAAACCCTAAATCCTAAACCGATCAGCATGCGCATGCTGGTCATCCCTGGGAAGGCTGTCTCGCGGCTGAGCCGGCCGCCGGCTGCTGATGCACCTGGCCCTGTTACTCAGCTAGATTTTTCAGGAGGGAGGTCCGATGACCCCCCGTTCACGCCACTGAAACTCGTGGAATGAATAGGTACAGTCCGTCCTTCAGGTTTTGGAATTGCGCGTGTAGGCAGGGCCATCGCTCGCTCATAAATCTGGAGTTCCTGGTCAGGATCCCGAACTGCGCAGGTCGGAACGCCTCATCACTTCCTGTTTTGCTTGAGCGTTCGAGCCCAGTGTCGAGCCTTACCCAATGGCATGCCCTCTGTCTGCGTACATGGTAGCCGAGTATTACTGTATGGCTCTACACCAGATGACAACTGCAGAGTCTCATGGTGTGAACGCGATGCAAGGAGCTTGAGACCGGTGCAAAGGCGAATCCCTTGCTGCCTGACCTGCAGGACTCTTAGAACGCCATGCTTGCTGCCGATACTCCATACGGCTGGCACATGCCCAGCGAATTCATGGCCGACTGTTGGCCGAAGCCCGCCTGTGCGCAAAGCTCAGAAGGTTCAGTGCCTGCTTGGAATTGCCAGGATGTGCAGCGCCTGATTGACGGCCATACGAAGCTACGCGAGGCAGCACGAGTGAAGAAGTACTGCGTGAGTTAAGCAGATCAGCATCGCTGTGGCACACTTTGCTGCAGGAGCTTTGGGTGGACGTCGACAGGGTTCGAAATGAGCTGCGACTAGAGCTTCTTGGCTTTGGCTCTTTTGGTGCTTTTGTGGATGCCAGGCTAAACTAAAGCTTCTCTTCGAGCCCTGATGACACTCTGAACTATAGCCCGCTTAGGATTTTTCATTTTCTTCATAGTATAAAACTCAATGGAATATTATCAACAATACTAGTTTTATCAGGGAGCATAGTGAACATGCAGTCAGTCAGGTCCTCGTCACGGAAGGATGACGTGCAGGGCGTGCGCTCCAGTGTGGACCGGATACGCGAGCAGGTGCCAGCACGAGCTCAACTGATCGTGCAGGGGGGGGGGGGGGGGGTGGTGCTCGTAGGACCTGGTAGGAGGAGCGTGCGCTGATGGAATTCCAGTGTCAAGAGGCATGCTCAGGAGCAATTACATCCTCATGTGCCGTAGGCTTCCCGAAAGAGCAAGCAGCCAGGGGCAGCGGAGACTAGCAAACTGGTTTTGGCACTGGCGCACTGAATTTCCGCATATCTTCGCAACATCCCATGTGCAGGTGATGGGGATGTCTTCCCTGCCTGCGTCAGGTGGGGCTGCGCAGCTCGGTTGCCAACCATGATTTGTCAGATGCGCTTGCCAAGCTCTGGAACTCGACCTGGAGCTCGCCCAAATGCCGAATCAAAACGATGGGTATCTCCGAACCCTGCTGCCCCTTCTGGCTCTTCAACCCCCTGAATCTCAAGACTCAAGAGCCACAAGCAACCGAAATCTTAGAAGAACTGCGCAATACTTGGAGGTTCATGGTGCTCATTAACCACTTATAACTGGTCAATAAGCACCATGAACCTCCAAGTAAGGACGGGGCTTTCCGGCACCTCAGCGGAAGAGCTGCGTGCCGCCGTCGCAGCGGAGCGGTTGGCTCGGGAGGCGCGTCGAGTTTACTTCCTGTTGGTTAGTAGTGAATGAGGGAATGAGGTACCCTATGTAATCCCTTAAAGGGTATATATAGGGAGCTATAGGGTACCTGGTACCCTAATAATCCCTTACAGGGTATAAACAGGGGGGATATAGCGTGCCCATTCCCTCATTCCCTCATTCCCTGCTAACCAACAGTAAGTTTAGTGAGCAGGCTCCTTGGGCTCTAAAGTTCGCGCTTGGGATGTTCCCCTTGAAAAGCAGCCCTTAATAGGGAGTATAGTGCCCTTAGTAGAATCCCTACTAAGGAGCTCTTAGTATAAGGGGGAACATCCCAACATCGCGCCCGAACGAAAGAAAGAGAGCAAGCCTAACACACCTGAACATAGTGGGCAAAAAGCAGAAGCACTCGAAGCAGAAGAAACAGGAGAGGTGAGAGAAGGTTTCTCGGTTTAGGGTTTAGGGTTTAGGGTTTAGGGGGAACTGTGGGAACGGGAGGGTGGGTGTGCATCGAAGGATGCGGGTGCAGCGGAAGGGGCAGAATCGGACTGGATGGCCCACCCATACCGCCAGTCAGCCCACCCTTCAACCTCCTTCAACAGATGGCAGTGTCGGGGGAAATTGGTCGAGGCTCATTTTCCGCAGCGAGCCTTGAACTCAGCTCCCAAATGCTAGGACGGTGACGACCGCTGCATGCAGCAGGTTCGTGAGCTCCTGGGCGACCTGGCACAGGGGATTTCATGCGTGTAGACTGTAGCTTCTGACAGCTGGACTGAGTACTAGAGAGAGGGACGGAGAGGGAGAGAAGGATAGAGAGAGGAGGAGGAGAAGAAAAAGGCTGAGAAGAACAAAGCTCAGAAGACGAAGAAGAAGGGGAAGAAGAAGAAAGAGTGGGGGGGCACCCTCTCGGGTGGGACAGAGAGAGAGAGAGAGAGAGAGAGAGCGAGAGAGAGAGAGCGAGAGAGAGAGAGAGAGAGAGAGAAAAAAGAAGAGTTAGATTTGAGGTTTTGGGCGCGGGGAGGGGGGGTTCAACAGAGCCCCCCCAAAAGAGGAGGTTCTCGAGCTCGGAGTTTGCGTGGGCCGCATGTTCAGCCCTAGTAGGTACGTCTCTTCTTAAAGGGGTAACTGATTATGGGTAGGGAACTAAGGTCACCATGCTTTGGTAACTATGCCGCAGTAGCCAAATGGTGCGGTGTATCTGGCTTGGCAGAGTCTGAGGTGACGAGAGGCAAAAGCGAGTCAGTGACATCAGTGCACTGGAGTTGCGGGTGCAATCGGAGGCCACGTCTGTTCATACACCACCTTCAAGCTGATCTGTAGGCAATCTTCGATGAACTGCGCAGAGACAGGAATCTGAACCTCTCGGCAGGGATTTGGTGTATTTCTAGAGCTGTCACGGCAGAGCCGCAATTCAAGGCTTGAGCGTTGCATGCGACCATATGTTCTGGGCGCAGGAGCAGACGCTCTTCGTCGAAAGCGGCAAGAGAGAGGCCAGGTAAAGGGCATAGACGCGACTGTATGGAAGATGGGCAGACCCTGTATCCCTCTGCATAACCATTGAGGCTCTTGAAGTCCAGCAGGCTTTGAAAGCACCCATGTCATGCGAGGAGCGTGATCGTGACATCCTGAGCCAGCTGACCAACGTCTTCCAGGCAGGAATCCAGCAACAGCAGCAGCGGCCACTGCAGTTTTTCTACAAGGGCGATGGAACGAGCCCAGGAAGCGATTTTGTTGGTAGCGCAATCTACTACTTCGGCCTGGTTTCTGCATAAGAAGTAGCCCAGCATGCTAAGCTTGCTGAAGTGCCAGGAGCTGGACAGCGTCAAGCTCCAGATGACGGGCACTGCAGCACAGCAGCGCCAGAAGTTGGATGAATTGTCCAGGACCCAGGCGACCCAGGCGGCCCAGGCGGCCCAGGGGGCAGTGGCCCAGGTAAACCCGCCGCACCAGGCCGGACGGCCCTGTGAGGCACTGAGGCACAGGCAGGCGCAAGACAGTGCAGTGAAGAAGAGCCAGCCTGGCATCTCGGGCCGGCAGTTCGCGAGCTGACCCTCCAAAGATTTGTGATTCGGAGGGTCGGCCCTTGTTCCCAACCGCGGTGACCCTACTGTACAACCCCCCGGAGCCCACCTAAACGAAGACCTTTGAGCCACGTTTTTTGTTTCGTTTCTGCCCTCCAGGTGCCCAGCACAGTTCCGAAGCTGGCCCCCCGTGGAAGTGGGAGCCCAATGAATTCAGGTGGGGGCGTGTGAAGATACGTAATGCGGATTGTAATGGGGTCGTAGAGGTTTCGCGGTTTAGGATTCCTTTTTTTGTATTATTTGCTTTAGAAACCCCCCTCCCCCCAAAAAAATGAGGGAGAATAATCCTCTTTTTTTTTTGGGGGGGGGGTCTTAAGCAATTAGAAGTTTTGGGGGACCGAACTTGAAGGGCCCGAACTAGAAATTCTGGCAGCCGCAGGCTTTGTCACGCCCACGGGCATCAATGTCCGCCCGGCTCCGGCTGGTCATCCTGTTCGTGTGGGACAGGCACGCTGTCGGGTTTAGGGTTAAGGGTTTAGGGTTTCGGGTTTAAGGCAGATGTTGGGGCAAGGTTGCCGGTGCTGCAGCAGACGGGCTCCCTTCAGCTGATTGTATGTGTGGAGTGGATGCTTGCTGGGGTCCCAGCAGAACCATTCCAGGGCTGCAGGAAAGTAGTGAATCGACTTTAGGGTTTAGGGTTTAGGGTTTAGGGTTTAGGGGGGTTTAGGGTTTAGGGTTTAGGGTTTAGGGTTTAGGGTTTAGCAAGAAGGGTTAGGGAGCGATGGTAAAAAGTATGAGGGTTCGGATCCTGCACTTTGGAGGCCCCACATTTGCAGTGGCCAGCAGGGCTCCGCGCTCACTCTCCGCAGCTGGGCGTTTTGTGCACCAGGGCGCTGCATGCTGATGTTGCAATTCGGGCCTGGGTTTTCCTCTGTGTGCGTGAAATGATTCGGGTAGTTGATTTGAGCCTCAGCTGGGCTTTCGACGTTGAACTGGAGGCTTGTGATAACATGTGAAAACCAGGTCATCGCAACACGCGTTGCATGACATTGCGCTGCGTCACGTCGAGACACAGAGACGCAGAGACACTCGAGCTCTTGTTTTGCCGTTGGGTGATCCCAGGAGTGGTGGCAATTGATGGTTTCCGTTTCCGGCAGAGCAGGCGCGAGCAATCAGTGCTCTAAATTCAGGATGTTGCCCTTATACTAACAGTCCTTCCTAGGGATTCTAGTAGGGGTACTAGAATCCCTATGAAGGACTGCTAGTATAAGGGGGAACATCCGAACTCTTAATTGATAAAGGAGTACCTCGCCTTCACGCAGAGGCCTTGACGAGTCTGGTACTGTATTGACGTCTCCTTCAAAAGGGTGAGTGAGATAGGGTTTAGGGTTTAGGGTTTAGGGTTGAGGCCTCCACGCTTCACTTGCAGACATTAACTTGCAGTTCGAACATGGGATGCAGGTTCGATTTTGTGCAACGTGCGGTGTTCCACTTCCCGGACGTAACCGTACTGTACCCTTGGCTTAAAGAGCCATGCGTGCCCATATGGTGAAGTCAGAGTATCATGCTTGCAGCAGTGAGGCGGCGATTGCACCTGCAAGACCTTCTGAGCCTCGGAGGGGCGCGTGAAATTCGGAACCAATGGCTTTCAGAAAGGGTAGAGCGCCAGATGCCGAATCAGTGCAGACCGACTGCCCTAGAGGTCGCAACCCCAAAGCCATCTCACTCCACGCAGCATCCCTTCAAAGCCGTGTCAGCGGGAATGGAGCTGACTTGCCAGCCCGAGAGGGCAGGCGTACAAGTAGTCGTCGACGGGTGATCCACTGCCAAGCTGGATGCAACAGAGTCATGGGCTTATCATGCGCTTGTCATGCTCATCCGGGACCTAATCCTGGGTAGGTTGGCAAAGTTTGGGAGCGTGGCTCTCCCGGTCAGTGCCTGTCTACACGAAGCTAGATGGCCACCAGGTGCCTGTTCATGCCAACCTGAGACCACATCTTTGTGACATTTTTGAGTAGTGACAACAGAAGTGTGACAAGCTGGCATGCGCAGTGCACGACCCACATCATCTCAATCGTAGTCATCGTGCATTAGACTCATTAGACCGAGTGCTCCTGGAGACTTGCAAAATCGCCGAGGACATCACAGAAGAAGCACGGGTATCCCCCATGTTTTTCTCAGGGAATTCTCAGAGACGTGCTTTACGTCTGTCCTTCCTTCTGGATGAGTCGCTTGTGTCAACATCGTCTAGATCCGAAGAAGGCACTTCCTTTGAGCTGGGAGAGCTTCTTGCGAAGAGCACAGGCCGTATTCGTACCCAGGGCAGTTCTTCACTCACACGCGCATCCTCTAATATTTAGTGAGCCAAGACTCCCAAAGCCTGAGGTGCTTGGAATGCCAGTGGCTGGGCCAGTTTTATTCTTGGGCTTCATGCTTGGTTGTTCATGGTTGTTTGCTCGGTCCTTTCTGTCGCTGCGGGTGTGACCTAGGGTACTTACGCAATGCCCCAGACCCTAAACCCTAAACCCTAAACCCTAAACCCTAAACCCTAAACCCCAAACCCCTAAACCCTAAACCCTAAACCCTAAACCCTAAAGCGACGCCTATGCTCCAGTGTGGCTCTTGTCCAGCCATGCATGATCATCCATTCGTTGTGTCGGGATGGGCACTGGTCGAGATGCCTAGGGCCTGATTGTTGGTGTCGAGTCTAGCGTGCTGCTGATGTACTCCGAACACTTCAAGTTTGCGACGGCTGCAGCGCATCAAGCTAATCAGTGATGCCCCCACCAGGCCCCACCGCACTGTCCAAAGCTCTGCACCCTGAACTAAATGGCAGGTCGGTCAGTCACCGAACTACCAGACACCGCAGGGCAAGGTTCGACTTTCGACATGCGCTTTGTATTCTGGGCAGGGACTTAGACGCCTGGTAGCAGATAGGGGCCCAGGTTTCTACTTGGAAAGATGCCGCAAGCCTGTTCACTAAGCTTGGAAAGCACCACTTGCTGTACGTGGGGGAACTGTTTCTTCGCAAGTGGCTCAAGCCTTGGAGACGAACACACAGGACATTGCAGGAGTTGCACAGGGCCAGCATGCTCTGCAGGCCATATCGGGCTAGGCATTCTGGGTGCATGCAATGCTGCAGGGGCCTAGGGCAGGAGTTCAACCACATCCAGAGTGTGTAACACATCCAGAATCCTAACCAGCTACGTCCCAGCATGATCCTCGCATCTGCATGCCGTCCTCCACTGATAACTCTGCTGTTCGTTTTGTTGGCTGGCTGTGGTCAGTGCCACGATGGATCAGATGATGAGTTGCTTGCCGCGATCAAGAGGCGCCTGTTGTAGCCACCGACCTCTCGGGACCCACTCCCCCCCCCCCCCCTCCCCCGCCCCGCCAGATTCACTACGGCCCTTGACAGGCAAATGGACAGCGTTCCGGAGCCTCCAGTGGACCTTCGGCAGATTCCGAAGGACTACGATGCTGGCTGCCTTGCTCCGGGGGTGGGGGGGGGTGAACATAGGACATAGGTACTACTGCTGTGGTACATGTGGGGATCCTATAGGTAGGGGATATTCGAGGGATCCACTCCGCCACTCCCAACTCAGCACCTTCAAGTTTTGCTCTGGGATGTTCGCTGGGACATGATGGGGCACTTCGCACGTTTGTAGCTGCGCTTCACCCATAGTAAACTTTGTGCAGACCCGTGTAAACCCCTTCGGAGGAGCTGCGCTGCACCTACTGCAATGCCATTGCCTCTACCTTTACCATTGCTTTGGAGGCTAAGTCCAAAGCGTTGCCACGTTCACGGCAGGGCTTGATGAACGAGGAGGAGCACCTTGAATTGAACCAGCAGCCCTAAACCCTAAAACCTAAAAAAAGCCCCTAAACCCTGCAAGAACTGCCAATTTGTTGAAATGTCTGCTTAGTGGCCTGCTATACTCCATGGCACTTGCCATTTCCAGGTCCCAAGTGCCAGCTCTTGGGGCCTTCCTTCCACACAGCCAAGGTACATCCATGCGCTACAGGATGCCTGTGAGAAGCCAGTGCGGCCAGGTATCGTGGCCGAATATAGGATGTGTTACAACATTCTAATGATAATATATGACAATTTAAGAAAACAATACTAATAATAATCAATAAATACATACATGCATAAGACAATAAATCCGCGCAGAATATGGAGCAAAAGATCTACAACCTCATCGAAATCCTTGTATGAGATTGCTTCTACACCTCAGCGCGTAACAAAGGAGACGGACACTACCACAGAAGCCATAGAGAAGAAGAGTAAGAGAGAGGTTGACAAGGAGACGCGTGAGCTCATACAGCAAATGAAGGACCTCAGCTTGCAGATGAAGCACGAGTTAGACCAATGGCGAGCTGCGGGAGCAACATCAACTGAACAGGTACAAGGACAGCAGAACAATATGCAAGCTCAGCTTGACAGGTTGACAGAGATTGCAAACAGACACGATGAAGAGATTGACGACCTCAGGGGCCTCTCAGACTTCACACATGAGATCGTTTTCGAGCGTGAGGCCAAGTACACCACCCTCAAGATGATAATCAAATCGTGGCCGCAGAATGCAACATATTACGACAGAGTCAGAGTTACTGATTGGCTGTTACAGCAAGCTCATGTACAACAGCAGACCAAGCAGGAGCATGGGTATTACACTTCTGGACGCAAGTTTGTTCTTTCGCCAGTTACCATTCTGACCTTTGAAGACCAGGATACGCATCATATGTTTGAGAAGTTTGCCTACACGAGCTTTTCTGCGAAGAAACCACTCTATTACTGGGATTCGTATGGCAATTACATGCAGCACTGGAAAGGTGGATGGCATAAGCTGGTCATTACCAACTATATGGGTAAAATCGACCAGACGATAAACCTCGCACTCATCACGGTCTTGCACATCTTGACTTCCAGTGAGCAGACAGGCTATGCGGGAAAGGACCAACTCTCGCACAGACCATCGGACAAGCAGATCTTTGACCTGAACACAAAATCAGCAGTGGCCAAAGCAACCTATGATAAAGACCAAGGTGTACTTGCAATCGTTCTCCAGAAGAGCTTCGTTGAAGTCGTACGAACAAACTGGCATGAAGCGTGGCGAGTTGCACATCGAGATCACCCAAGATTTAGCGATTATAGCAGATTTCCATATGTTTGCACGTTTGCCGGTGCTAGAACCGAGGAAGGAACAAATGACGATGAACCCAAAAATGAGTGACTAGATCGCGCATTTTCGGTTAAAAACATGAGGCAACAATGGAGGCAACAATCCCCCCCTTGCACAAGACAAGGGGTTGGCAACAACAGCTGCTGCACCGGAACAAACAACACAACACAACAGCAACCTGCACCTTCCAGACGGTGCCCCGGGACAATGCCCTTCGGGCAGACGAAGCAGCCCCAGAGTTCTGTTCAAAATAAAACCAGAAATTATACTTCCAGCTATTGCTCTCGTAACTACCAAAGGCGACTCCATAGATCGTTGTGGCGTTGGTTCAAACGAACAAAACTCTGGGGAAGAGCCAACAAGGCAGCACAGGAGCGCCTCAAAAGTTCTAACTCTTCAAAGCGCAAAACATTCTCATCAGTACAGAAATGGAAAATTCAGCTTAAAAGTAAGAAATGGTTCCGTAACAATAAAGAAATGTTGAGAACAAGATTCAAAGACATTTGTAAATTTCATAGACAAAAATTGGCAAGAATTTCAACAGCTAGACCTTCACCGCAAGCTAAAAAGCTTGCAAACCGATGTTACATTCGAGCTGCGTGCTTAAACGTTCGTGGTTTAAACAAAAACACTAAGCGAGAGATAATCCCAGACATTATGCGCCGCAACAAATATGATATCATGCTTTTGAGTGAAACAAATGTTAACTCAAGCAGTTGGGAAGCTTGGGATGGCTATTATTGCTTTTTTAGCTCGAGCATTGATCCTAAAGTTAGAGAGAAAGAAATGAAAAGAAAGGAAGAGAAAAAATCACAGGCAAGTAAGGATAGAACTACCACATACACACATTTTCGGAACGCCCCGGACTTCGAAAATGCTGGTGTTGCAATTGTTATCAAAGGTACGCTGGTAGATTCATTAAAAGACATTAAACAGATCAACGGTAGAATGATGAAAGCTACTTTCGCCGCTTCTGGCTCAGACATCTCTTTTTTTGCTATCTATGCACCACATAGCGCACATGCCGGTGAAGAAAAAGAAAACTTTTATGATTTATTATCAGATGAGATCCTGCAAACTAAGGGTACTTATTATGTAGGTGGTGATTTCAATGCCAGGTTGCACTATGTCCGCAATGTAGACAAAGACGTTTGCGGTCCACACATACTGGGAAGAGGAATGGCGTATTTGGATGGAATGAGCGAAACTACCAAAGAAAGCAGAGCGCTATTTTTAGGCTTTTGCAAAATTCATGCATTGAAAATAATGAACACACAATTCCGGAAACCGCCTGAAAAATTACTGACATACAAAGAAAAGTGTGCACAGCAAGAAGACAATTTGGACATAGGACCCCCATACGATGCACACAAATATGCTCAATTAGATTATTGGTTAGCAGGAGACGCGTGGAGATCAACGATTAAAGATGCACAAAGCCGAAAGGACATTTTCTACGATTCTGACCATTTTGTGCTAGAGTGCCGGATCATGATCAAAGGACTATACCACAAAACACATAACAAAGAAAGAACTGTACGTTTTTACAAGCCCAATGTGGAAAGATGGAAAAATTACAACATGCATATTCAGCATGCAATAAAACGTGACTCACTTTGCTTACAATCATTTTCTGCACTGCTACAAGAAGCAGCTGATAAACATTTAGAAAAAATCCCTCATGACAAGAAAAAATCATACATTAGTAGGGGGACTTGGGCAAAAATTGAGAAACGAAACCTAGGAAGAAGACACGGTATGACTTCTGCTGAACTAAAACAACTAAATAACGACATTGCAAAATCGGCTAACATGGATAAACAAGCCTCTCTGATGGAGAAGTTTAATGAAAACCCTATGGACCCAAACAAAAAAGGATTATGGAAAGCAGTTCGGAGTTTGAAGAGAAAGTTCACACCGCAATATGTTAAAATGAAAAACAAACATGGCAAACACGTTCCGTTGATCCTTCGAGCAGAAACTGTTGCAAGTTATTTGGAAGAAGAACATTGGAAAAATGATGCTAACGGACAGCCATGCAGGACAAAAATTGTTGACAACAATTTTGCTGATGAGTCGCCTTTCGTTATTTCAGAATTGAACGACGCCTTACAAGCAGCAAAATGTCATAAACAACCTGGACCTGACGGGATCATCATAGAGCTCTTGAAGTGGCTCGATGCGCCAAATAGAGATACTCTACTTCTTTTAATCAATAGCTGGTGGTCTAACAAGACCGCACCCGAAGAACTATTCCTGGCGCGGGTCGCTCCAATCTTCAAGAAAGGAGATACCGATGTTGCTTCTAATTATAGGCCAATATCTCTATTAAATAGCGTCTACAAGGTGTATATGATGATGATCAGGACCAGAATGCAGAATTCGATCGAGCACCTTTTAACAAGGACGCAGTACGGTTTCCGACCGAGCAAGTCCACTTCACATGCCATCTACCTTATCAGACGTATACAGGACTTTGCAGAGTCGAAAGCCGCTAAGCTAAGCATCGCATTACTAGACTGGGAGAAGGCTTTCGATAAGATTCAACATGATAAGCTATTGGTTGCTTTATCTAGACTTGGTTTCAGCCAGCATTACATAGATGTTATTGCGGATTGTTATCGAAAGCCGACATTCTATGTGAAGGACGATTTCGCTACTTCAACAATAAAAGAGCAAAGAAGCGGCATACGACAAGGATGCCCGTTGAGCCCTTTCTTGTTCACATTGGTTATGTCGTGCATTGATTCTGATATTCAATCCTCCATCACGGGTCACGTAGCCAATAATAGAGTTCCGGGTCTGGATTTTGACATGGTTTACTATGCTGATGACACGATTGTGTTTTCCCAGAGCAACAGAGGTCTCAACGAACTTTTGTGCCTCACCGAGAGGATTTCACAACAATACGGACTCCATTTGAACAGAGACAAGTGCGTCGCAATACCCATGAATAATGATGGTTCCATTCATTTTCAAGATGGCACACCCTTAGCCACAGAATACGAAGCTACGTATCTTGGCAATGAAATTAACAGGGAGGTCAATATTCGTCATGAAATCTCGAACAAGCTACAAGAGGTAAGACGCACTTGGATCAAATTAACCCCTTATTGGAAAGCAACCCATGCTAGCAAGAGGTGGAAACTAATAGTATATGATGCCATTATCCGCAGCAAACTACTCTACGGGCTAGAAACTATTCACTTAACCACTGCTATGGCAAAGAAGCTCAATGCGTTCCAAATGAGGGGCATTCGCAAGATTTTAAACAAAGCTCACACCTATATAGACCGTACAAATACTAATGCAAAGCTTCTGGAAGAAGCAAGTATGATAGCATTTCCAAGCCGGGACGACCAACGAAAGATACTACTATTTAGTGAGTTCCATAATTTACGACGGGCTAAGCTTTTAGGTCATATACTTCGTAGTACAGATTCTGATCCTTTAAGACAGGTATCGTTTATGCCCAGCAGTGCCACTAGAATCGAGTATGGCAAAAAGCGAGTTGGGAAGCCCCGGCAAACTTGGATACACCATGCAAAGAAGTTTGTGTGGGAAGAGACGCTTGGCAGAATATCTTATGAAGAAACCCCGGTACAAGATAATCTCATCTATAATGCAGGTTTGCAAAGACAGTTCTAAAGCGTCTGCAGAGGGTAAGCCGCCTTTTTGCTGCGCCAACGCCGTGTCTTGAAGTTGACGTACAGTCGATTCACGGTATGGCTTCGGAAAAAAAAATACATACATACATACATACATACATACATACATGTGTGTGTGCATGTCATGCATAAATCATGCTTATGAATGTCGTAAATGTTGTATACACATTTCGGCGGCACGTGTAATATGTCTATGGTGATTCTTAATTTTAACACTGACATGCAGGATATACTACGTATTATTTGTGTTTTTCGAAGCCAAGGGGAGTTGGAGGCGCTGCCGGCGGAGGCCCGCCACCTGACCTGGCTTTGCAGGGCATCTCGGCATCTCCCTGGGGGAGCGTTTGCTGAATGATGTGGGGGGTTCACGAAAATAGGGGTACCCTTTTTGGGGTCCTTGGGGGTTAATTTTTTTTTGGGGTTCCCTGTTTTCGTATAACCCCATATCCCGCAGATCCTACACTCGGATTGCTCCAAATGGAAGTAGGTTTGGAGGCAGTGGATGCGGGTGTGTTGTTGACGGACATGCTGGGCTATCTGAGGATATCTTGCAGACCCTCGGCGAAGAGGACTCGAGGGTTTAGGGTGCAAGATGGCGGAGGGATTCAGATCCCCCTCTCGAATCCAGTTTCCATGGAGGCTGTGACACCTGTCATCTACACATGCTGCTGTGTTCCATTGGGCTGCAGACCCTGGCAGGACATCTGGGAGCTGTTCCGCAAGCACGCTCAGGTTCCCGCAGTGCACCTCTGCTCCAAAAAGCTCCGCCTCTGCCCGAAAGACAGACAACGAAAGCGAGGTGACGGGGCGAAGAGCGACCTCTAACTGGGCGGCTTAGATTCGCTGGACAGCTAAGACTTCGAGCTGCTGCAGAACATCTTTCGGCGGGTGCGACTCACGTGAAGGTCACAGCAAACGGGCGTGAGGGCTCCTGCCTCCCCAGAACCGTGATGTGGCTGACAAGGCTGTGCACACACGCTGCGGCTAGATCTCCAGGAACCCAGCAACAATCTGGCCAATGAGGACGCGGGGCAGCTTCAGCGGGAAAAAGGTTTGCTGCAGTTGCGCGGGTGTTCGGAGATGGGCAAGGGTGCACTGAGCCCACAGAAAGGCGTGCCGAAGACTATAGTCTCCTTCGGAGATGTGTCTGTATTTTGCTGTATAACACCCGACAAAGCACTCAACACTGTCATCGTTCTTATGGCGTCGTCTTATGGTTCTAAGGAGTATCGCTTATTTTGCGGCAGCTGAAGGCTGACTACAAGTGTACAGATTGGGGCTGAGGGTGTGATTTGGAATCACCACTTCGAAGAGGTTTCGCGGTCTCGTCTTGTGGCCTGCCGAGTTCATGAAGCTTGCATGCCCAGAGAGCCCAATAGTCCTTAATTACGGAATATACCCTAAGTTATGAAGGGATCCTTAACATGACTTCAGGAATATTCCTTAATGAAGGGGTATTGGGCTCTTTGGGGATGATGATGACTTGATTGTACACGAACGGCCCTACTTAGCCTTAGACCTTAGATCTTGATGTTGGGTCGAACTGATTTGCGGCGGCCTGGCTTTGTGTGGAGCTTCCCTGAGTGATGGTGTGTGAGACTATCCGTGAATCCTCATGCGCGGGTTACGGTTTTGCACCAGTGCGGTATTGGAGGAACTGGCAATTGCTGGCATGGGCATCATTTCCAGGTCGTACTTACTCAAAAGGTCACTCGCACCGTGCCGCTGGTCCGTTTAAGTTGGGTGTGTATGAGTATGTCGGAGATAGCTTCCTCTAGGGACCCTCATTTCTCCTTTTTCAGCTTGTCAAAAGCTTCTGAACGCATCTTGATGTGTTGCTCTGCGGAATAGAGAGTGGGTGGCCGCGATAGGTCGTAGCAAAAGTAATTATAACTCGTGGCAACAAAGTGGCCAGAAGACCCCAAGCATGTGGCTCCCAGCTTCTGTTGCGTGTGAGCAGGTGGTCTCGCAGCAGGTGGCCCAGTCTCCGGCGTAAGGCTTGGTGGTCCAAGCCCAAGATGGTTCCAGTGACTTTTCTGTTGGCTGTTTGTGTTGTAATGTCGCCTTCAAGGGCCATGTGCAGTGGAGTCTGGGAGCTTCGGCAAGCTGCTGGCAATCTTCGTCGCCACGCGCGCGTTTCACCAAGGTCCGTGCTGCCAGAAGCCGGAGAACCAGGATGGGCGATTCTACCCTGTAATCCCTTGAGAAAGGCCCTTGATAGGGTTCATTTTGGGGATTTTTAAGCCCTAATGGCCTATCCTGGAAGTGAAGCGACAAGTAGAAGAATGTCCATGCAAGCCCTGCTCCTTGATTGTTGGAAACCAGAGTTCATTAGCGCGGCCTGCAGGGCCTGAAGGTAAGCTAAGCAAAAAACACGCAGTAAATAAGTATTCTCTCCCTCTCACGCCTAGCAATGAACTCATGGTGAGAGGGCGGCCGTCCTCGTGACAGTCGGGTCCGCGGCTTCAGGTCTCTTTGTGACAGGCCAGCAGAACAATACCATCGCACAGGGATGATCATGTACAGAGCTGCCTCCGTTCAGCACCCTGTCAGTGCCCCGACCCTTCCTAGCGTATGATACGGGTGATGGGCACGACCTTTTGTGTTTCTGTGCGAGCATGCACATACCTGGGCTTGCTGATTGGTGCGAAGGGTTCGGGAGCTGACGTAGTTATTGTAGTTCGAGATTTTCGGCAGACGAAGCTGCTGCACACAGCCCAGATGCCCAGCGCCACGTTGATAGTTGCAGAACAAATACTAGCACGTTACATGCACGCACGCACACACATACATATATATATATACATATGTGTACATATATACATGCATTTCCACATATTTATAATTTATAATTACAAAACAGAAATGCTTATATCCTTTAAAAACAATTACCACATCTACATCTGAATCTATCTATCTACCTATGTACACGGATGTGTTTTGGTTACCAATGTATACATCTGTATACACACATCTGTATACACATATACACTTCTGTATACAGGTAAGATCTATGTACCATGATCTGCAGTTCTTTGCACTCAATACGTGGTGTGGCTGTGAACCTGAAGGCCGGGCCTTCGACACCTAAGGTGAGCTGTGCCGGGAGGTGAGGGTAGTTGCGTGGGCCCTGAATATGGTCCCTTACATCTCTTAAAGGGTTCTGATGTACGGGCCTGAAAGTGTATAGTGTATATAATATGGGGGGCGTGTAAGGGGTACCCTTTTAAGGGCCCATACGAAGGGACCATGTAACTACCCTAAGACGGGAGATGGAAGCACATCAACAAAAAGAGTGTGCAGGGCCCTTCGTCGAAAGCTCAAGGATGAGAGAGCCCGATTGGCACGGGGGCAGTTCTCCAAATTCGGGTCGCTTTTGTGGGGTCCTTTTTTCGGGCGTCGTACGCTTTGGGGGTCCTAATTTAGAGAGCTACCCATGTAGTTCTGATTGTTTTTCTCTGGGGGTTGCGGGTTGAAGGTTTGCTCGGTTTGCGAGTCTTCGCTGGCGGCGCTGGCTCACAGCTGTTTCGGGCGCAGGCTCTTCCCCGAACTCGCACCCCGGCGAAGATCAGAGTTTCAATTCCGACTCCACTACTGAAGACGTTGCGATTAGGGGAGGGTGAGGTATTGCGGATTGTTGTAGGCAGGCCCTCACATGGCAATGTCAGGGATGCAGATCATGAGCATGTCTTCTGGCTCCCAGATGCCTGCGAACTCATCATCTTGGTTTGATATGCCGGAAGACCCTTCAGAGGGCCCAAAATCTCCCTTAAGTAAGGATTATACCTCAAAATCTTAGGGATCCCCATTAATACCCCCCTTAACTAGGGGTGATTCATATTAACATGCGGGCTCAGATGAAAACTAACAGGACCTCCCTGAAGCGGTCCGGTTGCCTGCGCCTAGGCCACCAAGGGCGACGGCTCGGACATGGCCGGGGCCCCGCAGTATCCCAAAGGTTTAGGGTTTAGGGTTCAGGGTTTGCTCAGAGCCTGGTTCAAAAAAGGGTTCAGGGTTTCGGGGTTTCCAATTTTCGGAAAGCCCCGTATCCCAAGATTATTTTGCAGACAGGGCGGTTCCGGCTGCTTTGCCCTGGTCAGTAGAAGGAAGGAGTTCTTGCGCCCAAAACCCACATGTTTACCATGGCTGCAGGCGGCTGACGATCAGCTGCTCAGTCCTTCCGCGACGTTGCCGTGGCTTGGAGCGAAATGCGAGTATCTGGAAGAGCTCTTTTTGTTGCGCAGGAATGAAGACGTGCCATCGAAGAGGCTGCGCCTCTAAACTATGAGAAATCATGCGGCTGTAGATATTAGCCGTTTGTTATCCGGCAGCGGGGAAGAAGGAGGAGGAGGAGGAGGAGGAGGAGGAGGAGGAGGAGGAGGAGGAGGAGGAGGAGGAGGAGGAGGAGGACGCGGAGGAGGACGCGGAGGAGGACGCGGAGGAGGACGCGGAGGAGGACGCGGAGGAGGAGGAGGAGGAGGAGGAGGAGGAGCTTGTAGGTCTCAATGTCACCTGCCTGCTTTGCTGACTCGGCCTATTCTCACTCTTGAGGCACAACCTCTTGGATGCGCTGAACAACGGGGATGACGACCTGATGCTTGGGCGCTTGGTGTGCGTTTCCGTTCTGTGGGTTTGTCTTGTTTTGCGAGAGCGCGAGCCATCGGTGGGGTTGCACTGTTCGTTCGAAGAATCGTCGTGGTGCAGGGCCCATTATAACATATCTATATGTATATGTGTATGTATACATACTATTATGGAAATATGTAGAAAAGATTGTGTAAGACTGAATATTTTGTATACGATTCATATACATCACTATAGTGTGATATATGTATATATGATATCATATATACAAAAGATATTGAAAGTATATAGCATCATATACATATATATATATGTATATGTTTACGTAAATTACAGAATGCATAATATACAGAAGAAAATACAAATATAAAAAGAAACAAAAGCAGATAACTAGATAAATCATTAAATATATGTATATACATACATACATATACATATATATATATACACATTCATACATATATATATATATACACTTACACACCCAGAGATACATGTGCCACCCAAGTTGCCCTTCAGGGATCCCCCGCCTGGCTTGGCTGAGCCCGGCGCCAAGATGGCAGGGGCAACTGCGATTCTTTGCAGTACGCCATGCAACCGATGACACAATTTTACTATTTATGTAGAATTATAGTTCTGGATTAGTAATTCTTAAAATGGTATATCTATTTTTTACTAGTATATTGTTATATATCAATATATGATTTTCCCTTGCACCGTTATGCCATTATACAATGATACTCGTATGTTAGTTTTCCGTTATTTCGTTATGCCATTATGGGTTTTTGCTAGTATACCTTTTTACTGGTATGCTGTTCTGTTATACGCTTTATTGTTACGTTGTTACATTGTCAGATTGTTATAGTGCTATCGAACTATAGCATGACAGTCAGATAGTAGTAGAGTCATGTAGCATTATAGCGGTCTGCGCAGTTCCGGCCAGTTTTTTAGCATGGCGCACCGCGTGCCTGCGCATCTTATGAGCCAAGGCTACCTGAAGGTCTCGGACTGCGCCGCTTAGGATTTAGGGTTTAGGGTTTAGGGTTTAGGTTTGTGTGTCGGTTACTCAGCAGTCTGTCGGTTACTCAGCAGTCCTGGGTTAAAAAGGGTTGTGTGTCGGTGTGGAGATGCGCATTTGGTCTAAACAAGCTTTTCTTGCAATTGTCTTCATTCGCAGCTGCCGTTCCTTTGGTCCCGAGAGTTCCTACATGGTTCTCTCTCTCCTATATCTATCTCCCCTAAACTAGCCTGGCGCTCTCTGCCGTGCGCGAGTGTGAGTGTGCACAGGGAACTCCTCCACCTTTTGCCATGTGGCTCAAGATCGGACTGCCTTTGCCTGGACGCACGCAGAGCATCCCAACATGTCGGAAGTGGAAGAGACTCTGAACCGCATCAAGACTCACAAGGGAGTTTCAGGCATCGTCATCGTCAACAGCGAAGGGGTGCCAATGCGATCAACGCTGGACAGCAAGCAAACCTTGCAGTATTCAGCTCTGATCTCACAGCTTGCCGCGAAGGCACGCAGCGTGGTTCGAGAATTGGACCCTCAAAATGACCTGACCTTTCTCAGGATCCGTTCCAAGAAGCATGAGATCATGGTCGCCCCGGATCGAGACTACATCCTGATCGTCATACAGGACCCCAACGCTGATCAAGGAAGCTGAGCAGTTGGTCTGGCCACGACAATTCAACCGATCCGGCTGATGGCGAGCAGGAAGGGGGTGAACGTGCTTTGCTGTAGTGAATCAATACTACGGGCCCCCATGTACTTGCATTCATGCAATCGAACTCTGGAATCTTGCTGCTGCCCGTGGTGCTGATCTGGTCCGCTTGTTACCCTGACCTTTCAGACCCTAAGCCCTAAACCCTAAACCCGAGACCCTAAACCCTAAACCCTAAGCCCTAAACCCCTCAGAATTCGGTTTCACCTGGAGAAGCCTCTTCAACACAGAGGTTGCCCCTAGTCGTTGCTCGAGAAATCGAACAGTTACCCTCGCCGGTGTGAGAGTTTGACCGTCGAAGCCCCACACACTGGCTGGACACTATACATACATATATATATATATACCTATATGTACAGGACACTATACATTATTATTATTATTATTATTATTATTATTATTATTATTATTATTATTATTATTATTATTATTATTATATATATATATGTATGTATATATAGGTTTTAGTGTCATGTGCATGTAGGGTTTCCTGGGGTCTTGGATCGTTGGCCCTATAATCAAAATCTTGGATCTTGGGTCGTTGGCCCTATAACTCTGCAGTCTTGGGTCTCAGATGCGGGATTGCCCCTTTTCGGGTAGGTCGCGGCGGCATATGTGTTAGCTGCCTGGTCGCTTATTGTTCTGTTAGACGGAAGAGGCAAAGCCCCCCGAGTTTTTGCCTGGATTCAGGCCGGCAGGTTTGGACGGGCCCGGCGGGGCCCCCAGCGGAAGCTGCATCCTGGTAGCATCCCACACAAGAGGGGACGTCTCCACGTCCACTCTGCTTGAGATCGCTCTCCCTGATAGCAACAGTTTTTTTTTCTCTCCGCAAGAGGAAATTCAACTCCCTGCCATGTTGTTCCTGTTTAACGACTGGTAGATATAGTTCCCGGCTAAATTTTGGTGCGTAGCAAAGGCTGCCGCTATGTGGGAAGTTGTAAACCATAGAGCCGTTTGCGCTAAAAGAGCCTTTGCAGGGCTCGCTGGAGAGTGGAGTTGGAAGACTTCCGCGCAGCTTGCTGAGATTTTTACTCAGGGTTTAGGGTTTCGGGTTTAGGGTTTTGGGAGATTGAGAGATTGAGGGTTTTAGGGTTTGATGCGTCGCAAAAGGGTTTAGGGTTTAATGCGCAGTGCATGGTCTTGATTGGGGCTCTTCATTTGGGAACCGTGAGGAAAGATTTCGTGCCCGGCACGTTCGGAGATGCCTGGCCCTGAGCACTCATATTCACATATCGTATAGACTGCTCAAGATGCTTGAAAAAGTGTTTTACAGACATCTTCATTCCACGACGTGGGAAGCTGATGTCGACCCGGCTGTTTGCAAGCTCAGGTTGGAACGGCTCTCAGTTCCTCAGGCGCCTCGCATGTCACGAATGGTCAGTGCACAGCCACTTCATGCTTTTTGCGGCACTGCTCCTTGCAGGATCAACTTTTGGAGGGTCTCACTCTCATTCAGGCAGGGCTGGAACTCTGCCTTTTGAAAGGTTGCATGGCTCTCACAGCGAGGACTGACTCGCTCGCCAGTGGTGGGACCGAGCACAAGCGCCAGTTCTGCAGCAGGGTCGCCAGCGCCGCAAGCTTACATTTCCAGTTCCTGGCACCTAGTGTAAATTCAACGCTAAGCGGCCCGCCTCGGTCCGGAGATCGCGGGTGTGAAGGTGCTGTGAGGCTTCAGGGCGTTGAGAGGGTTCCTGCAATCATTCCCTTTTGGGGATCCTGTTGCAACTCGCAGGCTCATGTATAGACCAGGCGCCCCCCAAATTGTGCAGGAGTGGTAAAGCAAGACAATAAGCCGGCCGGGTGAGGAGATAGGCTTGAAGGGCTGTGGGTGAGTGGGCAAAGACGAGGGTGAGAGACGATTAGACAGGGCACAGAAGAAGGCGCACGGGGGGGGAGGGGCTGGGTGCGGCGGGGTGGGGGTGGGGGGGAGTGATTTTGGTGCGCCGGCAGGGCTGGACATCTCATCGGAGATTGTTAAGTCGAAAGCTGCTATGGGAAGTGACAGGATTGAGCATGATCATCGGAGCTGAACTAGCACCGCGACTGCCGAGAGAGTGCTGCGCGTACACTGTTCTCGTTTTGCTTTCTCCTTCTCAGCGCGCAGATGGGCGAATACCAAAATGGGGTGCCCCTTACCCCAAATAGAGCATCATCCCTTTTTAGGGACCTCCAAAATTGATACCCTCGTTTCGGGAACCTCGTATCGACATGAGGCTGGGCCCAGTGGCTTGGACTGGGACTGGGAAGACCGGATGGACGGCCATGCACTTATCGAGTCTTCTTCGCTTGGGGCGACTTGCACTGCTGTGAATTCCAGTAGCTTCTGTTGCGCCGGCGCGCCCCAGGAAGCCTCGGGAGTTGAAAGCGTCATCCCTATCAGAGTCAGCAGCGCAGACAACGGATGCGACGGCCCCCGTGCCCTCTTACTAAACCCCAAGACCCAGAAACCAGAACTAGATGGGGGTTTAGAAAATAGGCGACCCCCTAATATCCCCCTCCTATAGATCCAAATGGAAGGATCCCCTTAGAATAAGGACCGCGGTACCCTTAATTTCGGAAACCCCTCATACATGCGCAAGTGGATTCCATTAACCGTTCAATTGAATAACACTACTATTTGCTTAAGAACCCGCCAACAAAACAAAGACAATTCTTCCTTAGAAGGGCAAAGAGAGGGATTTTTATTCTGTTAAAATTTTTGGGGGGCTTAAGCTACTCCTTAATGAAGGGGTTTTGGGCTCTTTGGGACTCTCCATGCCAACTCTGGGGTTGTTGGAACTGACATGAAACGGCCCTGACGCCCCACTCGCCCACACCGACGATGAGCACGAATCCATCTCGGGCGAAAGCTGTAGATACCTTGTGCACGGAGAGAGGCAGAAAAGCGCTGGACTACTCACCTCAAGAGTCATGCCATCAGAGTGCAGCGACCGTCAGAACTGAGGGCATGAACCCGGATGGATTGATGCCCATGGCTGTGGAGACAGATGTGCTCGGATCACCCATTGCCGGGGTCTCAACTCCTTAGGGGGCCATGCACCACGATGGGCCGATCTGCTGGACCACGCTACTTCGTCATCCCACAACCTCAAAGCACGTGCACCTGCCCATGGACATGAGTGTTTCGGATGGGCCCCTTCAGGAACATCGCTCATGCTTGTGGGCAGCTGCTGTGCATCCCAGGCTATGGATGGGCTGGACCCGGCAGAAGCTCTTGCCATGGAGGACACATGCAGTGAGGTTTTGCTTGCTCAGGTTTTGGTCGGTCTGGATCTTAAGTTGGCACGCGCATGAATCCACAGCACTCGACCTGCTAGAAAGCGATCACTCGGGAACTGCTGCATGCATGTCTGCTTGAGTCGAAGCCATCGACCGAAATCAATGGCTGGACATGGCTGGACATCGCCAATTCTTGTTTACGCCCTCATGGCATGGGCACACGCCCGAGACATGTCCCCCAAACCCCAAACCCTAAACCCTAAACCCTAAACCCTAAACCCTAAACCCTAAACCCTCATGCGTGAAAGCTGGCAGGCCTGCCAGGGTGAGGAGGACGATGCCGCGCAGTTCTACGTCCAGCAGCAGCTCTGGTGTTTGACCCTCGGGCCCCAGCTTGAATGCTGCTTACAGCCGAGTGGTTTCACTACTCTCCTACCAGGGTGACTTGGTATCAATTGTGGCTCCTTGTGAATTCTTGTTCTTTATCGTTCATTATTCATCTACAGCTGCGCTGGCCGTTGCCATAGCATCAAGACCCAAGGTACTCGTAGGCACAATTGTCTGCATGGCACCCCGAGTTCCACGAAGCACACCTCTGTTCTTGACCTCCAGAAGCAGCAGATGTCCTGCTGCTGGTCCCATCTCGCTCAAAATGACGTGATGAGGGCTGCTTGCCCACCTTGCCCATCGTTTTTGCACGGCTCAACATTCCAGCGAGTAGCAATAAGACTCAGCTAGACTTAGCCCAGGAGATACAGTCACTGTAGGCTCTGCACGCCACATCCGTGAGCTGCGCGGCGCCTGATGGAACGCCGGCGCGGCAGACGGACTCAAGAAGACGAAGGCACCAGTGTTGTTGTAGAGTGTTCTGCGTGCTGTGTATATGTTCCGTCGTGCGACGCGCAACGTAGGACAGCAGCACACCACGACGCATCAAGCACCCCCCCGGTCCTTGAGGTGGTTTCATGGGCTGTGGCCAGGCACCCAGATGCGCCTCCAGAGCTCTTTGTTTCACCACGAAGCCGCCGCTACTGGGGACCCCGTGCAAGGCAGATAGAGCGGCGAAGGGCTTAGACAGCTACCAGTAACAACCTGGAGTCGTATGTACGGAATATAACGGACAGTAAGGTGAGGTGGTTCGTTGGACCAGAAGGCGATGGGAACAGGGTGATACCTTTGCCAGGAGAGCGATTCTGTGGGCCCTGAGGATACACTGTGCTGCCCACCCAATGATGTCTTGTAGCAGGTGCAGGCAACCAAAAACAGGAGCCCTCCAAAGGACAGACCTTTTAGGCATCCCAGAAGTGTCATTACATGACCTTGGTTTCTGCTGCGATAACCCTCAACCCTAAACCCTAAGCCCTAAACCCTGACGGGTGGCAAAGAAAACCCTCCTAGGTTGGAAAATCTTGCTTGCCTTGGCTGGGTTGCTCCTCGGCGAAGATGGCTGCAATTCTTCTGACGAGGGCTGGAAGGCCGCGCCTTCACTGAAAGGCCCCCTGCATTGTTTCCCGGCCGATGCCGCTGGCCGGCGAGCAAAGTTCCTCTAGCCCTTGATGCCCTCTTGTAGAGCCTTAGAGCCTTCTGTACCTTGCAGTATGTTCAAGTTTATAGCCAGCCGATTTTGACCTTGATGGGGTCACGCAGGGGTACCATGCTTTCAGGGCTTGCTGGCATGAAGTGCGCGTTCAAGCCTGCTGAGGTACGTGCTGCTGGCCTTTGTGTCCAGCCAGACAGGCTTGACGTCATTTCCGATGTCCGGCGCCCGTTGCCTTCCACTCACATGCCAAGTTTAATACTGTCTAATTAAGCCTGTTTAACACAGTTGAATATAGTTCCTGTTTGTTCTACTGCGGTCTGGCAATTGTGGGCTTTCGGAGCGCGGGGCTGGAGTCTTCAACGTCATCTGCTTGCCAAAAGCCTGATGCCGAATGCAGTTGTCACCCTGCTGCTGACGAAAGAAGGCTCAGGTCACAAGAATGCATGCTTGAGCATGCTTGGAAGACACTGGCGCAATGAGAGCTTCGTGACTGTAGTTGCGACATGCGGCCTTCCTCGCTTGAGGCCGGCCATGGACCGAGCCTCTTTCTTTGCAGAGAACAAAGATGCAAGGGGCCCCGGGCAGAGTTCCTCACCAAGCCCTTGCAGTGGAAAGGATGTGAAGGGCTGTCGCATCCGAGACAGAGCAATGAAGTTTCAGGCTGTTTCAAATAAGGAGATTGGGGGAGGTGTGTCTTTGCAGCCATGGTTCCTCTGTGACTTCGAGCCCTTGGGGGCCCTGACCCGAACCCGAAACCCATCTAAGCTCCCAAAACCCTTCGAGGTGCTTGAGCGCATCGTAGCCCTTGAAGCTGCGGTGGCCAGGTGCGCACGGCAGAACGAGCGTAGCAGATGGCTTTGCAGGTTGCAGGGCTTCGACAGAGAGCCTCAGCTTTGGTAGCTCGGCTCCTAGGGTTTAGGGTTTAGGGTTTAGGGTTCATTGCTAGGCTCAGAGTGGTGTGTGGAGTGTGGCCGCAGGCTGGAGCAGCGAGTTTCCGGTGCAGGCTGATGCGGTCTGCATTGCAAGGGGGCAAGAACCACACGAAGCAGAAGCTGGCGCGCGCGTGTGGGTGTGTGTGGGTGTGTGTGGGAGCGGCTCGCCGTGCACCGGCCTGGCTAACGCGCTGTCCGGCCTGCCATCTCAGCCCCCTCCGATAAAAGCAGAAGCTGGCCTTTGCGGACCCATCAGGTCTTCCACAGCCTGCACCGGCTCCGATACCGGCAAAACAGGCCGGCATTGCCAGCAACAAATTTCAAGCTGGCTTTGGGCCAAAGCATGGCAATCTAAGGCTGGTAAGATGCTTCGTTTGGGATGCCTTCCGGCCATGTTTTGATTAGTCGGGAAGGTGAAGCAGCAGTAGGCCCATTTCAGGTAGGTTGTTTTGACCCCATAGTTATACTTAAGACCCTTTAGTACCCTTAGCCCAACTTAATTCGCATCCCATCAGGCGTCCCCAGCGCCAAGCCCTGAGCACGCGCAGCCCGCGTGCCTGAGACTGTACCGGCACATGTTGTTCAAATTCGGCCTTTGGGCTTTAGTCACAAGTTAGTTCCACCCCCTGGTTTTAGGGCTGGTGTTTGCTTACAATGTAGAAAGCATGTCATATGACATCACCTCCTTGCTTCTGGTCTAAGGCCTGCGCCTCCAGTGCTCCCAGCACCCACGCCGCCCTCGGCAGCACAGACTCTGGCCTGGAGCTCGTTGACGAGCACATGTGCAACAATGCGAAAGAATGCGGAAGTTGTGCAGTTTGCTCCTGCAGCACTTCGGAATTCCAAAAACGGGCTCATCCGCTTCAGCAAATTGTCGCTCGGGGCTGCCACACTCGTTGGGTGGTGCCAGTCTCGGTTGAACGAGGGAGCGAAGGGTTTTGGTTAGAAATGGTGGTTGGCTGAAACTGGGGCATCTTTCACGTGTGCGCGAGAGTGAGTGTGTGTGTGTGTGTGTGTGTGTGTGTGTGTGTTTTTTGTGTTTTTGTGTTTTTGTGTTTTTGTGTTTTTTTCTTGTTTTTTTTTTTTTTTTTTTTTTTTTTCGTGCGGCTTTGATGGGTCCGTTTGGAGGCTCTGAAACCAAACATCGAGCGTTTTGTCATGTGGTGTTGCTTTGCAAGGTAACCTGTATATATCACCAGGGACCCTCCTTAAACACGATCGCCATGCGAAATGAAGGGGGGTGAAGACGACTTCCTTCTGAGGTCCCCCAGACCCGTGCGGGCGCACCCAAGCTGCACCTGCTGAGCCATCGAAGCTGCTCGCAGGAGAGGTTAATGGTCAGTAACTATGATTATGATGATGATTATTATTACGATTATGATTATTTTACTATGATTATTGCTCGCATATTACTATTTCGATTATGATTCTGATTGACTATTATTGTGACTGTTTCTACTTTATGTTTTAGCGCAAGCTCTGCCACTATATTTGGATCGGAGAGCACTGCCGGTGCGTTGGGTGGAAGCACAGGACCAGAGCGAAAAGTGCAACCTGGGCTTCATCAAGGCAGGTTTGCTTGCCTTTCACATGTGGAGTGGAGGTTAGAAAGAAAGAGAGAGAGAGAGAGAGAGAGAGAGAGAGAGAGCGCGGAGGGCTCATTGGGCCCTTCAAGCCCTGTAGTAGAAGAAGAAGAAGAAGAAGAAGAAGAAGAAGAAGAAGAAGAGGAGAGAGAGGCCGCCGCAACAAGTGGGCAAATTTCGCTAGGGCTTCGGCCCTCAAGCCTCAAGAAACAAAGAAAGAGAGAGGCCTGCTCAGCCTTGTAGGTGCATTCGCACTAAGCCGGGGGGCGAGCTCAGGCGGGTCAGGGTATCACCCGGGTGCGGGACGTGCCACGTGCGCGTGTTTGAACAACCCCTTCTGACCCTTAGCCCGGTTGACGAGGAGAAGACGAGAGCGAGACTGCACCCGCCGATGAAATCCACGTGGCCCAGTCTGCCGAGAACTAGTTGGGAGGAGAGGAAACAGGTGGTCCCGTAAAAAAAACTTCAGATGCCTCACGACGGCCGAGGCCGAGGCGAATTAGTGAATGCACAGAGGCTGTGAAAGAGCTCACCTCCACTTACTTGTAGCTGCACCACAGAAAGGACGGCACGGTGGGCCACGAAGTGACACCTGAGTTGCACGAGCAAGGGGCCGCAAGTGCACATTGTCTCAGGAGACAGAAGAAGAGTCACAGAGAAAGAGAGAGAGAGAGAGGACACGGGAGAAAAAAACTTCCGGGGTGCACCGTGGAGACACAAAGACAAATGATCCTCGTTGTCGAGTACTGAGCCACCTGAAAGCAACAGTGAACGCCAGTTTGAGGGGACGGGGAGGTTTTATTTCTAGGCCAGGATTTCGGAACGCTTGGAGGTTCTTCGGCTCTGCGGGTTTTCTGTTGGGGAATGAGGGATGGCCTGTACCTGCGGTGAGTCACCATAAAGTCATGTACCGACAGGGCGAGGTCTACTTCAGTAACGGCTAGTTCCTTTCAGTGAACAGCCACCTCATGCACCTCAAAGATGGCAAGCGTATGCCATTCTTTGTTATTCAGTGAGGCGCAGACCCCAGCAACCTCTGGGCAGAAGCAACGGGTTTCAGCCCACAGCCGGCCGAAAATAGGGGCTGGACACAGATTCCCTGTGTCTTGTGTACCAAAGTGTTACCGACGGACATCGTGGAACTTACATCGTGGAACTTGGGCGCGCCGGGGTTTCAGGGGCAACCCTGGCCCCAGGGCCAGAAGAGGAGGAGGAAGAAGAAGAAACAGAATAACAATAAGAAAAAGCAGAAGAAGAATAATAATGTTGACTTCACATTTAAAAACCTCAAATCTTTTCGGCCAGGGCCTCCTCAATTGCATTCGCCTAAATCCTGGTAGGATTTTCTATTAATTTTCGTATTAGGTAGTAGTAGTAGTAGTAGTAGTAGTAGTAGTAGTAGTACTACTACTACTACTACTACTACTACTACTACTACTAGTAACATCTCCCTCAAAAAAAATTAGGAACAAACGTGATTTTATAATTGTGGCGGCCGATATTATTGTGTTCCGGCCCCCGCGATTTTATTATTGTAGCGGGACTCACTAATGTGAAGTCAACATTAATAAGAAGAAGAAGAGGAAGAAGATGAAGAAGAAGAGGAAGAAGAACGCAGGAAGTGCAATCATCCACGTTTGGACGTGCGGGGGGGTTGGGGTCAGCCCCTCAAGCCCTGCTTTGACGTGTAGTTGCAAAACTCTTTTACAACTTTTACAATCAGTCAGGAGATGGAGACCATGAAGAAGGAAGCGGATACAGCTCCGGAGATCAATGAGAGACACCTCTACACCAGGCGCTCGCATCCTGCATGCTGCCGAGTCCGTTCCTGCAAACGAAGCAACTCTGCACAACCCCGGTTTGCTGCAGTCTTCCTGACGAGCTCATGAGCGACCCACGATGGCAGCAGCATGTTAAGCCGCAACCTTGGGGCCTTTTGGGGCCTCTAGGGCCTTTAGTCTGCGTCAAAAGGTCTCAGTAGGGCCAGCGGGATGCCGCGGTGAGGGCCTGCAGATTCAGGGGGCTTCAAGAAAGTGCCCTAATCCCTTAAACCCTTAAACCCTAAACCCTGAACCCTGAACCCAAGGCCACGGGTGCGAGGTCGAGGATATTGGTTTTGGAAGGCGTGGGCCGCAAGATTGAGTTCGTTGAGGGAGAATGCAACCTGCGTTATTGGGATGGCTGGGGCATATGCACGCCTGAAGGATCATCCAAGGGTTTAGGGTTTCGGGCCTTAGGGTTTATGCGCAAGAGCTGAGAGGTATTGTGCAGATCGACCTGCCTCCTTGCGGGGTGATGTGGGTTGCCATGCAGCATCCCTGCGATCAATACGAGGCTGCCATTTCACGACTGTTGCTGGCCAAAGGCGTGCCTTTGTGGCATTCAGGACGCAATATTTGAAGTCAACCTCTTACAGCGAAGATTTCTACAATTAAGACCAGCAACTCCCACCTCCTTTTGGGCCAACTTCTCATGCCGAGGTTCTGCAGTTGGGTGATGATTTGCTTTATGATGCTTGGATGCGCATTAGGTGAGAAAGTTCATGCGATGGAGTGCAACACGGTGATAGCCAGCAAGGCAGGTGACAGTTAGTTCGCATTCCAGGTAGACGCAGATTCCATGCCCATGATGAAGCACCTCATCAGAATGAGTCGCCAGCACAAGCAGGCAAGCGGTTGCGCATATTGCTGTAGGTTCTGGTCGGGCGTAGTGACGCAGAGATAGTAGAGGCTGTATTGTGGAATGGTAGCTTGAGGCTGACTTACACAGGCTAGGAGTGTGGTTGTGCAAATGCCCTTCTGCGCCCGCACGTGGGGAGTCTCTCCATTCTGACGTCTTCTTACTGCATGTCCAGAGTTGCAGACATTCTTATCATCGAGGCTCACCATCAGACTGCGACATGTCACAAGGAAGAGGGCAGAAGGTACGATGGTAGGTAGTCTTTGCCTTCTGCATATCCTCGGCTTGCGAATGTGCAGATGTGCAGGATATCATCATTGCCGCGCAGCCTCACTGCGAGCATGCTTCTCGTCAAGCTTGATATGATAAGCTTGAGGACTTGATGTTAGTGAGCTGAAGGCAACCGAGATTTGGTCCCGAGAGTTAAGAGACTCGTGCTGAGGGTGCATGAGTTGCCGCGCACGTTCTGTGCTGTGCGGAAATACAGCCTGCATCCAGTCTCAATTGCAAAAAGATACCTGCAGGTTTGGACAAAGGGTGATATCTTTCAGCGATTTGGCACAACTTGGAACGATCTCCACTACGGGCTGACGCAGCAGCCGAAGGCACAGGCCAGGCAATGTCGAATACATCAAGTGCCGGCATGATGCAGCATAGAGGACAACCCTCCCGGCCCGCCCACATGCGAAGCAAACAACTGCCCAAGCACGTGCTCTCATTGAACAGAATGGTTTATGGATGTCCCGAGGACAAAGTCTCAGGTTGAATGGCATCTGAACACAGTCGCACTGCTTCCCGCACACAACTTGGCAGGCATTCTATATGCGGCTGAACGAGCGGACGCTCAAAGTTTTACAGATCTGGGAGATGCTCATGGAGGCTCGTCTCCCCTCGGGCCTAGGGGTGGGGGGGGGCTTAAACTCGGAGAGCTTTCGAACGGTATACACTTGCGTAACCAAATCTTGACACGTTTCAAGCTGTTGCAGCGTTTCTTAAACAATACCCGGTTTTAGCAACTGAACGTTTCGAGCGAATTTCAACGTTTGGCCACGCAGCAGTTCACCATAGTTCACCCTCACCCGGCACTCGGAACCGTCACTCTGGGCCCCCCCAAGTGCGAGAGATTTTGTCGTCCAAGCTGTCGTAAGAAGAGGCGCAGGACAGAGCCAGAGACACAGAACGAAGCGGCTCGGGCACTTTAATGGCTAGGAGGCTAGGAGTCTCAGTATACCTTATCTTGCCAGAGCTGCTCCCTTCAGGACTTTCACCTTGTCTCCGACGAGCCTTCCAGGAGCTTCGGCCAAATCCAAACAAGCCTACATGACCGTCATGTTATACGCTTCTTGGCACAGCCTCTGGTAACATGGGCCTGGGAGCCAGAACACAGTGCTTGAGCACTGTACTCAGAGGTTGGAGCCAGCAACCTTCTGCACCCTGAGTCGCAGGCTGTCAGACCACAAGCTGTGGAATCTCTGCCATGTGCCATGTGCTGTAAGGAACAAAGACTTGGATGGCCCGTGGTTCAAAAGAAAGGAGACTCAGGGAGATGTGGCGCTTCACGTTTGGGATTGGTGGCCCATTCTGGACCGTGTGTTTCTTAAAGGTTTCGGAAGTATTCAAGATGAGACACGGCCGTGGTTGGTTGAAGGAGAACCGCCATGATCAGAGCTTGCTGTCCATGGTCATCAAGGCTTGCATGTTGCAGCAGGGGGGTAGTGATCGTCGTCCCAACCGGCCCGATCGGGATCTTCAGGTTTTGTTCCAGCCACCTCGAAACTAAACAAGTCGGGGAGTCAGATATCATGCGCTGGAGCTGGTAGGGTAGTTTGGCAGACTGCGGTTCAAGAAGCAAGATGCGGCAGGCAAGCGTGCCAAAATCAGGATCGTGCAAGGACCGTCCTCGGGAGTGATGAGCCCAGAGCACGATGAATCACGCCAGCCAATGACATTGCTGTGAGCACAGGAGCCGGATTTCCCCTGTGATCGCTTGGGCGATCGAGACGAGACGGCGGGCTGGTCCGTACGACTCTCAGACTGAGAGTGCTGCACTGTACTGCGCAGTCACTGGTTATTGCCTTGCTCGCATTTGACCGTCCTGTTGGCAACAGCAAGTCCTTCACCCAGGAGTAAACCGAATTTCGTCTCAAAGCCTCTTGTTGGGGATGTGCCTCCCCCTTCACCTTGGAACCGTGTTCCTTCTCCTGCCCCTTGCTTGCTCTCCCCCGCATGGTGTTGACCCCCTCGCAATCGCACGCGGACGCCATGGAAAAGCCTGGCATGAGAGCCTAGCATGTGCATGTTATGCAAGACACTCCGCCATGCCCTGTACTATACTCTCAAGCCCGAAGGGCTTGTTTAACCAAAAAAACCCGGAAAGTATGGTTGTCAGAGCTTTGGGAAGGTCGCGGAAAGAGGAGGCTTGAGCCATGAAGCCTGGCCGCAGGTCCATCCTGAGCTGGGTGTGGCGGGCCTCACCGTGAAGTACGTCTGAGCGCGAGAAACCTTCCCCCACACAAGCCGCTTCAGCCCCAGTGAGCCCACTGAAACCCCAAGCAGCCCCTCTTCATCCCCCCTAAAACCCTACCTTCCCCCTTGAAATCTCATGAGAGACGGCGCAACGGCGGCCTCCAAAGAAGTGCACCGACTTTCGGTGTTGGGGCCGTCTGGCGCCTGTCCGTGCCGGGCCTTGCGAAAACGACCACGACCACTACCACGACGACTACTACGGATAGGAATCACAAGAGGCGGTGCGTGAGTAACATGTGCTTTTCTGTAGTCGAAGTATTCTGTTGTCAAGTAGTATTTGGCAATGTGAGGTGACTGCAGATGCTATGATTACTATACTGACTGCTACGGGGTCCACATGAGGGGCAGTTGGGGTAGCCAAGTACTTCGTGCCCTTTTCATTGGAAACTCTACACTCGTTTTGCAGGGAAGCTGCCCGGGGCTTATGGGCTGTTGGGGTTTCCTAGCCTACCCCCTAAACCCTAAACCCTAAACCCTATACCACTTACAGGATTTGCAATCCGAGGTTTGCAGCAGGTGAAGGATCAGATGGAGGCGCGGTGCGGGTGCAAGCTCTGCGCTGGTTGCATTTGCTTCGGGCCCCTAAACCCTAAACCTTAAACCTTAGACCCTAAACCCTAAACCCTAAACCCTAAACCCATTTTGGCTCAAGGATGCCTATCGAATTTACTATTCACTCGCCGGTATCGACTCCATCTGGATCCGATCGTTCCGAAATGACTACTGCTACGGAGGAAATGGCAGCGCTCCGATGGGAATTGGAGCAGTCAAAGGCCTTGGTGGAACAGGAAGAGCAGCAAGTGGAGGCGTACAAGAACCACGAGTCTAGCGAGATGAAGGCCTATGAAGAGGCGATGGCATCCCATCAAGTTGCAATGGCTGCGAAGGTCGAAGAATGCGCCTCCTTCCAGCAAAGAATGCATCATTACGAGCAGCACAGTGAAAGTTGGGAGCAAGCGGAGTCCAGAGCTATGAAGCACTTGACTGAACTGAACGCCCAAGCCAGTGAGCTCAGGATAGCGTTGATATCGAGCGAGACCAAAGCGAATGAGTATCAGACACGGGAGACCCAGTTGCAGACTAGACTTAGTGATGTGAAGTTGGAAACAAGTCAACTCCAGTCTGAACTTCGAAGCTGTCGGTCCGCATCCACGGGCCAAGAGAATTACATTGCAAGTCTCCGCACTGAATGTGCAACGGCGGAAGCGGAATTGGTCCAGTGTGAATCAGAGATGTCTGAAATGCACAACATTGTGACCGATTCAATGGAGTCCCTGAAGAAACTGCATGCAAAGGACCTCCGCGACAGAGATGAGCATGTGGCAGCCCTTAAGTACCAACTGGACCTGGCGCAAAAGAGGTTGGCCGGAGGGGAACCACATGTAACATTCCCAGACGCTCACGGGAGTTCCTCCGGGACGACCGCCACGATTGAGACAGGACTCATTGGCACATCGAAGATGAGCAAGTTAGATGAACTGAAGGCCTCCGTTGCATCCGCTCTCGCAAGTCATGGATCTGGACCACACGCATCGGGGTCTGGGTACGATCCAGCGGCAGGGACAGGGCTTTCCTCAAGCGAAAAGCCACACCTCATCCTCAAGCCGGAAGCTAGTGGGTTCGGGGCGTTCGGCAAACCATCCCACCTCTCACCAGCGCCCGAAGCCGCGCCGAAACCGGGTCTCCTCCGTTCTCCTCCGTCCTTCGGTTTCACTTCGTGGACGCTCCGACTCCAGAGCAGGCTCTCCCGACCGTGTGTCACTGGGATCTACGAAGCTTTCCCTTGGTCGAGAATCCGAATCAAGTCGGAGCAGGTCGTTGAGCGCAGGTGGGTCGAGCTTGCGCTCAGGTTCCGTGTCGTTCGGAACCCGTGCTCCTCGATTCAGCGGAGCCTAAAAGAATTCAAGGATCTTCGGGAATTTGCGGAATTTGTAGAATTTGTAGAATTTGTTGAATTCGGTGTACCTATGCCCGAAACATACAGGTCTGACGTGCTGATGAGGGTACTTGTCTGAGACTGAAAAGGCGTGCTGAAAAGTGTACCACTTCCTATCTTGGGGAGGGGGGGCTACCTTACCAGCACCCTTAACCTCCTGAGTCCCCGGATTCCCTGAGGATAGTGGATGTGCAAGGTCGCATGAGAGGAAATCCGGAAGCATGTGCATTTGATCTAGGGACGCTGCAGCAAAGTAGGGGGAGCATGTCGCATACTGCATACCAAACCTGCTGTCAGTCTGCATTCGCTTGGTGAAGGGCACATGACGGAAACGTGCAACCGAACTGTCCGGTCTCCCGCTGGGACTGGGGAAAGGGGTTAGTCTGGACCACGCTGCAGCTGATTGTAAGCCCAAAGCCAGTGCATGCATCTTGACCCGTACTTTGACACGCCTCTACTCTGAAACTCCCCTTCCCCCCTCTTTCCTCTCCCTACAACTGGTACCCCAATCATGACGGAACATGAGTTTCCGCGGGGAATCGGTTGCTGAAAAGGCTGAGAAGCGGGCTTTTGAGCTCCTCCAAGCCCCCGAAGCTCTAGCCAAAGAGCACATTCTGGAGCTCTATGACCTGGCTCCCACCCAGTGTAAGCAAGGTCCCACGAATGCCAGGCAGATGATGACGGGGGGCAATCCAAGAAGTTCTAACGCCCCCCTGCACAACATATTTGACCTTCCCTGTGTCACTCAAGCTGTGACCAAATTTGTCAGACATCATGCTCCTGGGATACCTTTCAGCACTGTCACAATCTTGGAAGGGGCGAAACATGGAGTTCATGTTGACACGCACAATGCATCCCCCCCGAATGTCGTCCTGAATCTCACCACGTTCCAAGGTGGGGGCCTGTGGATTGAGCAAACAGGGGGTCCTGATCACCTTGAGGGTAGAAACATGCAAGGCAAAATTCGGAGCCTGGAAACTAGGCCAGTTGTTTTCTCTGCCTCACGTCTGAAGCATGTGGCCACCCCGTGGAAGGGGGCCAGGAGGGTTGTCCTAATTGCCTTTACCGTTGGGACCATCCAGACCCTGTCAGAGGAGGTCAGGAGTCTTCTTGCGGCTGCGGGCTTCTGCCTGCCTATTAAGGCTCAACTTAGCTTCTATAAGGCACATGTCATCCGACCGGGTGAACTGCGGCAGCTCACGCTGCCTAGCAGCGTGGTCAGAGGGAGTGTAGGAATAGACAAGACAGGACAGCTCGCTGAGCTTGGACTTGAGTGTACTGAGGCCATTGAGGTCACGAGCTCGGACGAAGAACCTGTCAAAGCTGTGGGGCTCCGTAGAGGGAATCTTCTCCGCCCCCCCCCAATAAGCTACATGCGAAGACTCATGTGGGAAGAGGATGCTGACCTCGAAGATACCTTTACACAGCAGGGGGGGCCTTCACCCTCCCGGGGGCCCTCCCTATCTAAGAATTGCCCCCCCCCACTGGAGCCTCCCCCAAAAAGGGCTAGGACGGCACCGGCGGGTTTCTGACCGCATCCGACTAAGGAGTCGGCGGCTGCGCGCCTAGGAACTGCGTGTGTAACACATGCCAACCAGGGGGCCAGCTGCATTGCACACCGCACGTCCCACACTATTGCATGACTTCTGCATTTGCATGTCTGTACATGTTGCGTGATGTATGAAACTGTGAGCTCGCTGTCGCTGTGTGGTGTGAAGATTGTGCTGCACTGTCATGGTACCGGCCAGCGCCATGCCACCCGCCAGTACTGCATGGACACCATGCCTGCACGGACCCGCTCCACTTGCCTCGCAAACCCGCCTAGGCCCACTGGAAAGGTTGAGAGGGAGAGGGGAGGTTCACAGGGGCCTATGAGGGAAACTTGTGTTTGCTCGGTACAGGCCCCAGGAAGCTCATGTCCGCCCACCCTAGAAAATACCTTTTCTGAGAAATTCTACTGCTTGCCCCCCCCCTACCTTCTATGTACTCCCATGCACCTCCTAATCCCTAATCCCCTCACTTCGGTAGCATTACCAAGAACAGACACGACGCCATGGCTGCCGGCGCCCCCCCCGACTGTCAAACCTGTAAGGGCAGCTACGGATGATTCTGCTGCAGATATCCAGCAAGGGGCTGGACTGGACTGGCCGTTGCCCATGTTTGGGTTGGCAGGGGAAATGGTGACCTATACCGACACAGGTCAACGATGGGCCCTGCCAACCTCTGCAGGACTCTCAGCCCCCTGCTCCACACAATGGATGGAAGGCCTGGCCAAGCACCTGCCACCTGCGGGTCCCGATGTGAGCGCTGGATACAATGGATGGAAGGCCTGGCCAAGCACCTGCCACCTGCGGGTCCGGATGTGAGTGCTGGATACAGAGCGGACATACGACACAGTGAGATACGGTGCAAAGCGCTGGAAGGGGTGGAAGAGGATCCGACAGAGCGACAGCCATAGGTGAGAAACTGGGCCAAGGGCATGCGAATGGCCAATAGTCGCTCACTACGCATGACCAGAAGCCTGCGCCACATGAAGAGCCTGAGCCTTCCCGACGGTACCAACCAACGGCTACGTCTCTGAGCCTCCAAGGCATGGAAACGCAGACTAAGGGGTGAGGGCCTGGGGTTAAGTGCTCGCTCCCTTTGGCAAAAACATGCACGTGATCGTACGTACTCACTGTTGTTTCGTCCATCGACGCCCGAGGGAGAAGTGAATACCAGAGGGTGTGGAGTTTGCCAACACAAGCCCAGCTGTCACTGGCCTTAGGCGTGCCCTGATTGTACGTACTTCTATTGCTGTGACCATGCAAACTCTGCAGAAGCTCTGACGAATTCATGAATTCAGGCTGCTTGAGCCTTCCTGCATGTTTCGTCGAATTCATGAATTCATGAATTCATGATGATTGAGCCTTCCTGCACGTTTCGTTCGCCAATGCTCTGAAGAAGGATACGAACCAAGAGGTGCGGAGTTTGCATAGCATGGTGATCCTATGCACTGGCCGCAGGCGTGCCTAGACTAAACTTTCTGTTGTAATAATGCAAACTTTGCAGGAGCTCTGTAGAATTCGTGAATTTGTGCTGACTGAGCCTCTCTGCATGATGCTGAATTCGTCTGACTATCCTTTTGGACGCGGCCCTTTGACGCGGAACGTCACTTCGGGGAGCTTGCGCCACTCGGTTCAAGGCATCTGAGCAGTGGCCACAGGCGTGCCTATATCTGAAAGCCTGGTAGCACTGATGACATTGTGACGAATGCACCTCTCTGAGTAATGCTACATGCGGCTGTACGGGGCTGCATGAAGCATGTTGCATGATCGTGTTTGAACCCAGGAATTCGGAATTCGAGAATTCATGCGTGGCTGCCATGTGTGAAACCAGTCGGCCCTGCGGGAAGGAAGCCAGGAAGGGGACCTATTTCCGAACCACTGGCCACAGGCGTGCCCATAACTACTGAATCCCTCTTCGGCTTCCATCCCCCCCGAGAATCATCGAAGAGACAATGATCTCGGACGCAAAGATAAACACTTGAGACCCCAAGGAGAGGGCCTAGAAGACTTTCAACCCAGTGTTGGTGCCAGGTGAGAGAGCCCTTATCCTGTACCCATGCCAGGTGCCACAGGCGTGCCTAGACCTAATGCTATGTCTCGAGGGTACTCTCATGGCAAGACAACGCCTCACTGCACCGGGAGTTGCAACAAGTGAACGGCTAGTTCCGCATACGTTCGTGCTCTCTAGGTGAGTTTGGTTGTTCTAGAGGGGAACTGAACACTGGAAGCAACTCCGACATTCCTGAGAGCTATATAGCCTTTTGAACATGCTAGGCTCTAGGGCACACACAGACCCATTTGAAGCCCTGTCAACCTGCTGTAGCGAAGTAGATGACGCGGGCGAGTCTGTAGCGTGAATGTATCCCCGGGAAAGTGCAGGCCGACGTAGTCGGTTGATGTAGCGTAACCGTTTGCTGTTAGTAGAAAGAAACTAAATACTGGAAGACCGGGGATATGAAGCTCCATCGCCCCATTGTACATCATTTCCCAAGATAGTGAGCCTGCCCGAGTGCGTCACTACATCCTTAAAGTGGCCCCTTTGTTAAGTCAATCCCACCTTGGCCGTACCCTGGCCGATGAGCCACTCGGACAGGCAAGCTGGGGGGGATAGGGTTCGTACTTTCGCACTTTGGGAGTCCGGGGATGGCGGCTTCGGAACTAGTCCTGTGATGTGCTATGGGGTGTAGGGGCATTCTGTTGTGGAGTTGATGCTGCTGTTGGAGGGGAGGATGAACTCCGAAAGCCATCTTCAGGTACTCCAGCAACGGACTAGCAACCTTTTGAATCTGAACTTTGGCGGTAACTAGGCCTGACCTCTTCCCCGTATACGCTTGCGAAACGGGTGGGAAAAAAACCCTAAACCCTAAACCCTAAACCTGCCCATGAAGCCTGAAAGGGAAGCTTATCGGAATCAACCCGAAGTCCATGGAAGAGGGCCCGTCATCCTGTGTCCTCTGCCAGGTCGAGTGGCAGAAGGAGAGAAAAGCTATGATTGATCAAATAGCTCGATTTCGCGCCACGCCCTCAGTTCGCGCAGGTTGGTCATGCGTCGCCGTTTTGCAATGTTCAAGGGCAAGTGCCGCACGAATCCAGAACCTGCCTTGCCCTAGGTCTATCTCACTTCTATACTGATGTCGGTGTGTATGTATTTTGTTTGGACAAGCGCAGGCTGTGCTGACTCGGTATTCGATTCCGCTGGAGGAGGCAGCCCTCTGGGATTCGAAGCTTCAGGACGCATGCTGCTGACAATTGCTGGCGGCTGCACTTGGACCCGCCTTCCAACATTCCTCCAGATAGAGCGATGAGGGTTTAGGATGTTTAGGGTGTAGGGTGTAGGATATTATCTAGGGCTAGGGTGTAATGTCCCCTGTGAGAGTGGGGTATCCAACTTGATGCAGAGGCTTTCTTGTCATGACTTGGGATGTTCCCCCTTATACCAACAGTCCGATTAAGGGATTCTTGTACCCCCTTCTAGAATCCCTATGAAGGACTGTTAGTATAAGGGGGAACATCCCAAGTCACGGTCGTTTTTCAAGAAAGCATGGTGGCGTGCTGTGCAGCCGGGCTCCTGGAATAAACTTCCTAGAGGTGTGAGAGTGAGAACAGCACACCAAGAAGCATGGCATGAGCGTACAAGATTTTCGACTATGCTTCCCTAGCATTTATCATATACCATGTATGATAATGTACTGTCATACGCGAAAATCTAATGCACTATAGTATCATACACGAAAAAAAGTTCTTTGTCATGTACCCCAGCCCACAGCCGAAGACTTGGCACGTTTGAACTTCCCGTTCCCTGTCCATGCCGCTGCCGATTGCCTTCCTGGCGCTGCTCCACTGCGTAGCGGCAGAGGACAGAGAGGGTGTAGGTTGTAGCGGTGCTTGGAGTCAGGGCTGTGGGTACTACAGCGTGAGCCGAGCACAAAAAGAGTCGAGCATCCTGCCTAAGTCATCCAATATGTAGCTACTAACTACGGGGTACGCGCGCGGAATTGGCTGTGGAGTTTTCTCTTCAGCTCTTAGCAAAACCTCCATATTTGGCGACTTCTGCGTCATTCTGAGTTTAGCACGATGACTATAAAAGGCAAGTGCTACCGCAATCTTGCCCGAGTGCTTCAGGAAGTTGTAAGACGCTGTCAGGTGTCTTGCCTTTCGACCAGCAGCAGCAATCTTTAGCAATCGCGCTCCATGGGATTCACTTCGTCCAGTGCTTGTGGAGATTGTGGGTGCTGCCATACCGGCTCCAGTGCAATTGAGAAAACACATGCGCCAGCAAGCGCCCAACAAAATGTGCCTGTTGCTGAAGCATCAGCTCTTTCAACAGAAGGCAATCGCAAGTCCGGAGGCCCATGAAGCCTTGTAGGGAGACGGGGTGAGATTCGGATCGAGGCGAAACCGACCTGCCGATGCAGCTGAAGAAGATTCGAGATTGCAAGCTTCTGGGATGGCGTGGTTTGTGTATCCATCGGTTCTTGCATTGAAGGGTTTGCAGTTATATAGGTCTTTTAATTTGGGGCTTTCTACTGTAGGTGTTTAGATAGGGCTTGTGGTGCTTCCATTGTTGGGCGAGTTCCTTTGTCGTTTACCGTTTACCTTGCCACCCAGAAGTTTGGAGGATGCGCAAGCCAACACCATTGGCACTTACCTGCAGGAGCAGGCCAATCAAACCTTGCGGGCGGTCTTCAGGAGGGCAGGCATCAACCTGAGCAAGCTTGAGACGCAACCGCAAGTTAAGCACTGTACAGCCACCGGCCACAACTACAAAGGAATAACCGCAACCACAACCCCAGCTATATATGTATATGTAATGTGAATATATATATATATATGTGCGTATATATATATATGTATATAGAGTACAACCACAGTTACAACCACAGTCCTCTCTGGTCCTGCTCCTCCCCTGAGCTTTGCGAGGCCTGTGCAGCTTGCAAGGACTTGGACCCAGAGGACACGGCCATCCTGGGAGGGGTGACCGCCGTGGAGAATGCGCACCCCCACGAGGTGCTGGGAAGAACGAGAACAACAAGTACTCTGGGGACCAAATGAGCCATGAACCTGGGGTCATATTCCCGATATTCCTATATTGATATTGAGGTATATGAACCATATAAGGGCAATGTAAGGGTTCATCTGGCCCCAAAGGTATATAGGTGTTTGTTTGCCAGGGCCTGGGGGTTTTGAGGGCTAGTCAGGTACTTCCTGAGAATTTTCGGGCGCAGGAGGCTCTCAGAAGCACTCTCCAGCTTCCCGAAAAGAATGCCTACCTGCACATGCTTGCTGGTCCCTACCATGCCATGTAGAGTCAATCTAGAGGTCTCAGTTCTCTGAAGGTCACCCTTCGGTTTCTCTCCCAATGCCGCCCATGCCTTACACGTGCTTGCTTGGTCTCCTTGCATGTTCCCTCTCTGGTGAAATTGAATGCCCACCAAATGTCACCCAAAGCCTAAAGCTGAGAGAGAGGGGGAGAGAGAGATATAGCCCGTAGGAAGGAAGGAAGGAAGGAATGAAGATACAGCCCGTAGAAGAAGAATATGTGTATATATATATATATGTATATGAAATATCGATGCATCCGGCCGTGAAGGGCAGGATTGCACCGCAGGTGATTCTCTACCACGCCCTCCCCTTCTATGTATACACTCTGGCCTGGATTTGGCATGGCATTTCCAACGAAGACTTGCTGATTCTTGGGTCGCATGCATGCCGAACCCAACCCTTAGGGTTTAGGGTTTAGGGTTTAGGGTTTAGGGTTTAGGGTTTAGGGTTTAGGGTTTAGGGTTTAGGGTTTAGGGTTTAGGGTTTAGGGTTTGGGCCCGGCAGAGCTCGCGGGGTCAAAAGGGTTTAGGGTTTAGGGTTTAGGATTTAGGGTTTAGGGGTGATCTTTCCAGCTGTTGTCATTTCAGCCAACCTGCCGCCGAGCCACAATGTTTCAGGACTTGGAAGCCAATCAACGACCTGAGCACGCCATATCCGGTGGCAAAGACGCTTGCCTGGAACTTGTGCTCGGTGCATTCAGAAGACTGCACGTCCAGCCAGGGGATGCTAGAAGTCATACTGGTAATATCTGCATAACCGATGGTTGATGCCAGGACGCCGCTGGCACTGCGGGTCTTCAGCGACGGCCACGAGTTTCCAGTATTCCAGGTGGGGAAGGGTCAAGAGATCATCAACTTCACAATCTAAGTGGCAAGGGACGACATGACGATTGAATAGCATGAAGCAACTGCCCGATCCTCAGCAGAACCAACCAGAGCGGCCCATGCTGGCACAATGATCAGCTCATTCCAGGACCCTAAACCCTAAACCCTAAACCCTAAACCCTAAACCACAATTGTACACCCAGTACAAGTCTTGGCCCAGATTTTGCCTGCCTCAGCGGTGCATCTGACTGAGGAGCCTGGCTTGAAGCTGTGTATGCCAGTGCCTTGTCAAGAAGCCTTGGAGCAGCGGCTGACGTGCTGATTCCACAACATGCTGGACATGTCGCGACATATGAGGTTGATACTTAGAAGCATAGTGTGGGTCATAGTAACGACAATGATACGGACCTCGTTGCTGCCGCACACATGCGTGTGAAGTGCAGAAACCTGACTTCGGTTCAAACTTTGGGCTAACGCTGCGCGGCGAAATAGAAAAGTTCTGGCGGAGTGCTGCTGCAAAGCTTTCTATGGACATCCAACAACAGACGTCCCGGGCCCAACCTATCAGCCTTCCACCCCCGTTTTGTCACCCAGCACTCAGCACCTGGCCAAGATGATACGAGGCTTGGGGAAACTCAGAAGGGTTATCCGTCCAAAGGGCTGAAGCATCCAAGGTTGCCGGCTTGACTTCCGTCAGGGAGATGGGCCCTGGCGAGCACCTGGGTGTCGGCCAAGTGCGGCAAACCACTGATGGACAGGGCTGCGTGATGTTTCGAGTACGAACATATGGCCTTACTGCATCGTCCTGCGCCTGCCCGGCGAGAAGCCCGAAGGAAGTCAGGGGTAATGGTCGAAGTGTTGGCATCTCGCTTTTCAGTCGCTCGACAGTGGCCCAATAGGAGAGGCTGCCCCCCCCAAATATTCAGCCCTCCCACCCCCCACCCCCAAATACTATAATACATGATATGACTACAGTGGGGGGTAATTCAATATTAGGGGCTGGGGGGGGGGGTTCTTGTGCACAAGTTGCCGAAGGAGGGCGCAAGATCCTCGTGAATTACGGCCAGGATGGGAGCAGCGTCGGCTTGAGCCCAGAGAGCCCAATACCGATACCCATTGCCTAAGGATCAGACCTCAAAGTATGAAGGGACCCTTAATATGATTTCCTTAGAAGCAGGGTTTTTTGGGCTCTTTGGGCATATGTAGCAAAATTGCGGCACCCCTCCCAAACTCCTGCATAGTCTTGAGCCTGCAGCGCTCCAATATTGTCCTGCGCCCCATGGCCTGTATCGAACTCCTTGGAGGTTCATGGTACGTATTAACCGGCTAGAACTGTACTTGTAACCAACATAAGCCCCTAAAGTGCTCTAATATGCTTATAAGTACAGTTAGAAGTACAGTTATAATCTAGTAATCATTGGTGAATTAGGTTCCATGAACCTCCAAGTATGCCTTCGCCATGTGGCAAGTACATCTCTGAAGGCGGCGAGGAACTATGTGGCGGATGCCGCCGGGTGCTTCCCCTTGGTCGACATCAAGCGGGAAAGCCAGGCCATGGACTGGTTTGGGGTTTAGGGTTTTTAGAGGAGCGTAACCCACACCGGAGACTGCAGGTGGGAAGCCTGTTGCAGCACCCAGGCTTATGTGTAGACCAGGCGCCCCAGATTGTGTTTGAGTGGTAAAAACAGAAACCCTAAGCGTGGGAGCACAAGAAAAGCAAGCTGGGAAACTGGTAGAACAGGGTGTAATTTGGGCGGAGGGGGCTGGGGCGGGTGGGTTGGGGGGGGGGAGGGAGATTGCTGGCACCGCCGTTTCTGTGCTGCTTCTGCTGGTTCGTCTGTGAGGCGAAGTACAGGAAAGCACTCCGAGACGAGGATCTGACCAAGAATGGTGTGGAAAATGCCACGTCCTTCGAGACCCTTGGCTTGTCGGGCAACTGTTTAGGGGTTAAAAGGTTTAGACGGTTTGTAGGCTTCATAGGTTTCTTTTTAATAGGGTTTATAGGGTTTGTAGGGTTTATAGGGTTTGTTGGGTTTATAGGGTTTACAGGGTTCATAG